TCAGTGTGTTCTACTTAAAGATGTACTTTTCTCTAAATTAAAAAGAGATAATTTTTTGTTTTGTTAATTTGAGAGCAACACAGAGTGGTACAGACAGGGTAGATCTCCCATTCACTAGTTCACTTTCTAAGTGCATGTAGTAACCAGGCCAGGCCAAACCCAATAGTCAGGAACTCACACCAGCGTTCCCACCTGGGTGACAGAACCCCATCCCCACTGCCTCAAAGGGTCTACCCGGAAGCTGGAGTTAGGAGCTGGAAGTGGCTGTCAAATGTAGGCTCTTCGATACGGAATGTGGGTGTCTTAACTACTGGCTAACTACTAGGTTAACTACTAGGAGAGAAAAATATGCTTTATATTCACAATTAAGAGATTGTGTGGGGCCAGGGTTGTATTTCAGGTTAAGCTGCTGTCTGTAATGCCAGCACCCCATGTAAGCATCAGTTTGAGTCCTGGCTGCTCCATTTCCAGTCTGTCTCCCTGCTAATGTGCATAGGAAAGCAGTGGAAGATGGCCCAAGTGGTTGGGTCCCTGCACCCATGTGGGAGACCTGGAAGAAGCTCTTGGCTCCTGGCTTTGGCCTGGTCAGGCCCTGGCTGTTGTGGCCACTTGGGGAATAAGTAGCAAATGGAAGATCTCTGTCTCTGCCTTCCTCTCTCTAACTCTGCCTTTCAGATAAATAAATAAATCTTAAAAAAAAAAAAAAAAGATTTGTTTGAAATGCAGAGTGACAGGGAAAGACAGAGAGAGATCTTCCATCCATGGGTTCATACCCTAAATGGCCACAGTGGCCAGGTCTGGGCCAGGCTGAAGCCAGGGGCCTAGAACTCCATCAGGGCCTCCCTTGTGGGTGGAAGGGGCCCATGTTCTGGAGCTACCTTCCATTACCTTCCCAGGTGCATTAGCATGGAGTTGAATAGAATGTGGAGCAGCTGGGACTCGAACCAGTGTTCAGATATGGGATAGTGATGTTGCAGGCAGTAGCTTAGCTTATTGTGCCACAACACAAGTCCCAACTGTTAAGATTTTAAACACATTTTTCCTGTGCCTCTAAATTCACTTTTAATGATTGCTGGGTATTTTGAAATATTTATGGAACCATGTATTAGACACAGTCCTAACATAATGAGTCATTTGAGTTATGCTAGGAATTGGTTGCTAGGTTTTCAGCGGAAGTAACCTCCATCTCATGGAGTTAGCACTAAAATTTCAGTGATTTTGGTGGTTTTTAGACTTTTAGTTAATGTTCTTGGCAAGTGTCTCTTTGAAAAGTCACATACTTTTGAATAATTGAAAGATAACCTCTTGGAAGCATGATAAATGCTTTTCATTTCCTGTTGATCATTAGTTCAATAGCTACGCTACAGCACCAGCCCCTACCAAGTAGTTTAAAAAAGTTAAGGCTGTAGAACTTGATCAGGAACTTAAAAGAGTAGTGATAAATTAAGCAGAGGAAAGTAATACAGAGTAGTCAGGACTTAACTCTTGTGAATAAAATCCTTAGCTTTGAGCTTGGACTGCGTGATGACTGTCTTTTTTTTTTTTTTTTTAAGATTTATTTATTTGAAAGAATTACACAGAGAGAGGAGGAGAGGCAGAGAGAAAGAGAGGTCTTTCATCAGCTGCTCCATTCCCCAGTTGGCCGCAACAGCCAGAGTTGGGCTGATGTGAAGCCAGGAGCCAGGAACTTTTTCCTGGCCTCCCATGCGGGTGCAGGGGCCAAGGAATTGGGCCATCTTCTACTGCCTTCCCAGGCCATAGCAGAGAGCTGGATTGGAAGTGGGCAGCCAGGACTTGAACTGGTTCCCATATGGGATGCCAGCACTGCTGGCAGTGGCCTTATCCGCTGTGCCACAGCGCCAGCCTATGATGGCTGTCTTATATCTGACTGTGTTGGTGCCTGAGAAGCCTCTCCCCTCCAGAGTGGGTGCCAGGTCCTCAGTAAGTACTTGCTGAATGAATGCTTAAGGGAGAAGACACTGACTAGGAGATTGTCCCTGTTGTTCAACTGTGATCTTGAAATAATACATACTTTTTTAACGTCTATTTTCTGATTCAGCAAAAAGATTCTAATACAGGACATTTCAAGGATGAGAGAGAAAGGAGGTTGGAGTGGATTTTATTCCTGAAAGTGTGATCTTGGGCAAATCACACTTCCTTTCACTCTCCATTCATGAGCTTGGCTCTACTCAATCTTGGCGGTCCCTTTAAAGCTGTAAATCCCTGTTTCCAAGTATGTCCGCGTGTGGGGATAGATGCATTTAGACACTGTGAATGCTGTGTAAAATGTCACTTTCACATCAAGACTAGGAGGTGATTTAAATGCCTTATTTATTATGCCTTATTTGGGGGGATTGTTTTTAATTTCTTTTATCCTCCACAGTCAACGACAACACCAACAGCAGAGTGGTCCTCTGGTCCTTCTTTGAAGCCCTTGTCCTGGTTGCCATGACGCTGGGACAGATCTACTACCTGAAGAGGTTTTTTGAAGTCCGGAGGGTGGTTTAAAAAGCCTTTTCCTGAGGATCCCAAACTCATAACTCACTGTTTACCAAACACCTTGGTCATAATAATGTCATTAGTTTCTGTTCCTCTTTTCTGAACTGTACATTCACGGTTTGGTTTGTTTTCTTTGCGACGAGTAGATAGTGGGGGAGAAACACCTTCTTAAGAAAGTGACAGTGAAAATCTGACATCTGGCATAATTTCTTAGCGTGCTGCCTTCCTGATACAAGTCCTTTCAGAACTCAAACACTGTAAATGACACATAGGAGTAGTCTTCAGGAGATCTTTTGTTTTCATACTAAATTGCAGTTTGGTCAGGGTATCGGCACAGTGCCTGACAGATCTCTACTAAAATGACTGCATTTTTGGGCCCCCTCATCCTGTGGTTCACATCATTAAAAAGTCATTTTGTTGAGTCCATGTGAGGAGCAGCAATCTGAATGTTGCCATTGTCGGCCCTGCCTAGTGGCGGAGTTCTCTTGGAGAACTTGCTCGGGCTGGGTCATTTTGTTGTTTGTTTTTGCTCTGAAGGTAAGACTCCTCTGACACGCAGTTCCCCCTCAGTTTTTTATATCAAACTGTAGGCTTCAATCGCCTCCATATAAATTGGTGACAGAGCAGCTAATAACCATTGTCGGGCCTCTGCCCAACCTCATCAGAAGCTGCTCTGAAAGCCACTCTCCAGGTGTTCAGGAAATGCTAGAGCTCCCCGTGCTGCCACGTCCATGTCCACTCTTGGCAGGTACAAAGTATGCATTCACGTCACTGGAACAGTCTGGATTTCTGATGGCAGAGGCTTGGAGCCTGTTGGGTTTTGTTGCAGTGACATCCAGCCACTATTTTACTTTTCACCAGTGGTCTTTGGCCACTTAACCTAGGGCACTGGATGTCATGTCGGCTCTAGGGTTTTTTGTTTGTTTCTCCTGGGTTTTTCTTTTTTTGGCACATGTGAATTTTGTTTTATATAGAACGGAATGACTTTTCTCTTTGATCTCTGATGATGGGTTTGAAATTAAAGGAGCATCTGTTGTTGGTATGGGATGATCCAGGATTATGTTGTGACTGATGTATATTAGTTACTTGTACATTTTTTTTGGATCTTTGCAAGGGAAAAACTATAAGTAACAAGTTTTATATAATTAATTTAAATTTGTTACAGTTTCCTTGTTGAGGACAAATACTTTTTCAACCTTGGATGACAATAACTTGCAACAGTTCATTGATAAGGTGAGGGTGTTTCACCTTAGGGTAACTGTTGCTTGCCAATTTTGTGTGTGTGTGTAAAAACACTTCAAAACTGAATTAAAAGATGTAAATTTGAAATTGGTTATATATCTAATATGCCCCAGGTTCAGTAAATAAACAATTCTTTTTAAAAACAGTCAGTATTCTGTGTTTTATGTATTAATGGTGACTAATTCACATTTGGTACGTACCAACATTCTGTGCTTTGTAAATTCATTTTTAACTGATGCCTGCAGCAGGTGGGACTGGTCCAGGCTGAAGCCAGGAGCTCCGCCCATGTGTCTGATGTGGTTGGCGGGGACTCGGGTGCCTAAGCCAGCACCTGCTCGCCCCAGGTGTTAGCAGAAGCTGGAGCGGAAGACAGATTGGATCCCAGGCGCGCCACAGTGCCTGCCCATGGCCTTCGTTTTCTGAGTAATCAGCCTGTTTTAAATGTATGCTCACCCGCTATAAGCTGAGGGCAGTGAGCAGGAACCCAGTTTTAGTTTCTGCACAGAATTCCCTGTGTGGTGTCTGTCTTTGATGATTAACTTCTCAAGTATTTTTTTTTTAAATTTTGGGGAAAAGTCTGAATTATTCGCACTCACTCTGCCACTGGCTTATGGATGTGGGAAACCAGTTTAAGAGGCTCAACGACTGGCCCAAGTCGGTGGGACGGAAACAGCTCGCACTAGCAACTTCCTCCAGGGGCCCGCGCTGTCCGCGCTCTAACGGTCGTCTGGGAGGGAGGGAGCAGGCTTGGAGCTGGCAAACGGCTCCGCCCCGGGCGGCCGCGCCGCTTCGGGCCTCGTCCCCCGCGGTGACCGCTCTGCGCCCCGCTGGGCGCCGGGCACTGGTGTCCGCCCTGGCGGGACGCGCCTCCCGCGCGGGCAAGTTCCCGAAGCCAGAGCGAGAAGCGCCTCCAGTCCGCCGGGCGCGCTCCCACACGCCACGGCAGCCGGGCCTGGGCCAGCGAGGCTGGGTCCCGCACGGCAGACGCCCGCCCTGTCCCTCAGGGCCCGCACCGATGGCGGGCGGCGCGGGGTGGCGGCGCGAGGACGCGCCCGCCCGGCCCTGGGTCGCGTCCCGGCACCGCTTTGCGTGTCCGCGAGCCGGGACGCGGCCGCGGGGCCGTGCTACCACCTGCCTCTGACGGGCGCCTGGCCGGCATTCCTCCCGCCGAAACTCCCGCTCACCTCACGAAACGGCGCCGGGAGCCGAGGCGGCTGCGCAGTGCGGTGCGCGTGCCCGCCTAAACCCCTCCGCCGCGGCCTCCGGAACCCTGTTGCCGAAGCACGGTTTCCGCCCGGCCGCTGCGCCGCCGGAAGCGGAAGTGCTCGCTGGCTGGGTCCGCAGGTGTTACGGCGGCGGCGGCGGCGGCGGCGGGGCCTGGAGCCATGGAGCACGTGACGGAGGGCTCCTGGGAGTCGCTGCCGGTGCAGCTGCACCCGCGCGTGCTGGGCGCGCTGCAGGAGCTGGGGTTCCCGTACATGACGCCGGTGCAGGTGAGGTCCGTTAGGGAACGAAGTCGGGAGTAAGCCACTTCGGCCGCTGGCGGGTGTCCTGGAAGTGTGTGCAGGCGTGGGATGGGTCAGGTGCGGTGCTTGGGCCGCCCCAGGAGTTGTCATTTAGCTGAGGCCTGACAGCTGCCTGCGGGTGAGCCGGGGAGATGCGGATGCCCTGGGCTGGCTCGCATGAGCTCCGGGCTCGTGCGTGGTGTAAGACGTGCACGCCAAAGGCCGGATCGTGCAGGGTCTGTGGGGACATGGACTTGATTCTCAGCGCAGGGATGCCGTGGAAGAGCAGAAGGGGTGTGGTGTGCAGAGGACGGGCTTTCCGGTGAGCGAGGCAGCAGGCCGCTGGCGGTGAGATGGCGGTGGCTTGGAGATGGGTGGCAGAGTGCGATCCAGAAGTCAGGTTAGGGTAGCGTTAGGTTTGCGGAGGGACCGGGTGTGGGGGTTTATGAAAGAGGAATCTGGATGACCCGAGGTTTTGTTTTTAGTAGCTGGGTGGACGGTGTTAACCACGCGCTGATGCGGAAGGCTGAGAGGGATTCCGGGTATCAGATCGGAGTTGAGGTGTCGGGCAGATTCCACAAGAAAGGCGGGGTGGGAGCAGGTGGTGGGAGTGCCGTGCCTCGGGTGGACCCAGTGTCCGTGCCTCGGGTGGGCCCAGTGTCTCCATGTGTCTCCGTGTCTTGGGTGGACCCAGTGTCTCCGTGTGTCTCCGTGCCTCGGGTGGACCCAGTGTCTCCGTGTGTCTGTGGACCCAGTGTCTCTGTGTGTCTCTGTGCCTCGTGTGGACCCAGTGTCTCCGTGTGTCTCCGTGCCTTGGGTGGACCCAGTGTCTGCCTGCAGAGCTCACCCTGGAGCTGTTCCCACACACAGAGCCGTTGGCCACTTGACATACGCTTAGTCCAAACTGAGAGGTGCTCTGTCTGTCAGGACACTGAATTTTGAACACTTGCTATGAAACATCAATGGAAAATATCTTGTTAATTATTGAATACTGACTAAAAGCTAAAGTGATGATATTTTGGACATATTGGGTTAAATAAGGTATACTATTTTTTTTTTTTTTTGATAGGCAGAGTGGATAGTGAGAGAGAGAGACAGAGAGAAAGGTCTTCCTTTTGCTGTTGGTTCACCCTCCAATGGCCAGCGCACTGTGCTGTTCTGAAGCCAGGAGCCAGGTGCTTTTCCTGGTCTCCCATGGGGTGCAGGGCCCAAGCACTTGGGCCATCCTCCACTGCACTCCCTGGCCACAGCAGAGAGCTGGCCTGGAAGAGGGGCAACCGGGACAGAATCCGGCGCCCCAACCGGGACTAGAACCCCGGGTGCCGGTGCCGCAGGCGGAAGATTAGCCTAGTGAGCCATGGTGCTGGCCATAAATAAGGTATACTATTGAAACTTCTTTCACCGTTTCTTCTTACTCTTCTCGTGACTCCTAGAGAACTTAAAGCCGTGTGTGTGGTTCACATTATATTCCTGTTGGACAGCACTGATCCAGAGCAGGGGCCTCGGTTTCGGCCTTGATGGTGTCTTGTCTGGAAAATTCTTTGTTGCGGGGCTGTGCCGAGCACTCTGGTGTTCGCGGCATTCCTCGAATCCGCCTGCCCGAAGCCCGCGGCAGGTCCCTGCTCCCTGGGCTTGGACAACCAAAAGTGTCTCCAGATGTTGCCAGGTTTTCCTTGGGGAGGAGCCGGGGAGCGGGGAGGGCAGAGATGTCGAGGCTGAGACCCACTTGTGTGGAGGCCGTGGGAACCTGTGACAGTGCTGTGCTGCATTTGTGCAGGCTCTGGGGACCCGACGTGGGGTCCTAGTGGGAGCAGCCTGGAGGCCAAGGCCTGGATCTGCTTCTGGTTTAGCTACTTTGGTTGTTGAAACCAGAGCCCCCGGCTGCTCGTACCGTGTGGAGCCCTCCACGTTAGTTAACATGAAAGGGTTTATTTGAGTCGTTGCACCTGGTTTCAGAGCTGGACGAGACCTTGAACCACGGGGTCTGCAACCCCTTCCTGATCTGAGGAGGAAAAGTAGGGGGCGGGGCTGGAACCCAGGACTCTTGGCACACTCTGCGTGCTCACACTGCTGGCATGCCTGCTGTGTCCCCTCCGCCCTGTCTGCTTCCTCTGAGTCCCCTTGTGGTGGGGTCCACTGTAGCCTTTTTTTTTTTTTTTTTTTTAAGATTTATATTTATTTGAAAGAGTTAGACAGAGACAGAGAGAGGAGAGAGATCATCTGTCTGCTGGTTCACTCCCCAAATGGCCGTAGTGGCCAGGACTGGGCTAGGTCAAAGCCCGGAGCCAGGAGCTTTCTCTGGGTCTCCCACATGGGTGCAGGGGCCCAAGCCCTTGGGCCGTCCTCCGGTGCGTTAGCAGGGAGCTGGATCCGACGTGGAGCAGCCGGGACTCAAGCTAGCGCCCATACGAAATGCCAGGTTAACCTGCTGCGCCGCAGTGCCAGCCCCTCCACCGCGACCCTTACTGTCCAGGGTGTAAGGGGCTGGGCCTCCCCACGCAGCCCGGGGTGTCCTTATTGCCCAGGTGTAAGGGGCTGGGCCTCCCACGCAGCCCGGGGTGTCCTTACTGCCCAGGTGTAAGGGGCTGGGCCTCCCACGCAGCCCGGGGTGTCCTTACTGCCCAGGTGTAAGGGGCTGGGCCTCCCACGCAGCCCGGGGTGTCCAGTTACTGCCCAGGGTGTAAGGGGCTGGGCCTCCCACGCAGCCCGGGGTGTCCTACTGCCCAGGTGTAAGGGGCTGGGCCTCCCACGCAGCCCGGGGTGTCCTACTGCCCAGGTGTAAGGGGCTGGGCCTCCCCACGCAGCCCGGGGTGTCCTTACTGCCCAGGTGTAAGGGGCTGGGCCTCCCCACGCAGCCCGGGGTGTCCTACTGCCCAGGGTGAAGGGGCTGGGCCTCCCACGCAGCCCGGGGTGTCCTACTGCCCAGGTGTAAGGGGCTGGGCCTCCCACGCAGCCTGGGGTGTCCAGTTACTGCCCAGGTGTAAGGGGCTGGGCCTCCCACGCAGCCCGGGGTGTCCTACTGCCCAGGTGTAAGGGGCTGGGCCTCCCACGCAGCCCGGGGTGTCCTTACTGCCCAGGTGTAAGGGGCTGGGCCTCCCACGCAGCCCGGGGGTCCTTTAACCAGCGCTTTGTTCTCTCTCTAGTCCGCCACCATCCCTCTGTTCATGAGGAACAAAGACGTGGCTGCGGAAGCGGTGAGTACCCGGCACGGAGGCGGCCTGCTCGCGTGGCGTCCTCAGCTGAGCGCGAGACAAACCACAGCTCCGCCTCCCTCCGCAGGTCACGGGCAGCGGCAAAACCCTCGCTTTTGTCATCCCCATCCTGGAAATTCTCCTGCGAAGGGAAGAGAAGCTAAAGAAGAGCGAGGTGAGCGTCAGGTGAGGGAGCCGCGGGCCGAGCGAGGGGCGGGTCTAGAACCCGGAGCGGCAGCGCCCAGCTGCGGCTCGGGACTGGCCGAGTGTGCGGGCTGCCGTGCGGATCAGTCACGCAGTCACGCCGCCCGCAGAGCTGGCTCGCCTCGGGCGCTTGGACGCCCCGTGGTGTGTGCAGGGCCGGGCTTTCAGGGTTTCGAGCCGAATTGGTGATGTTGCTGTGGGCCCCCAGTGTGGTGCCAGCATGCCCTCTAGCTTGTGACAGCGTGTGCTGTGCACAGGACACCTGTCAGGCAGCCTCGTTCAGGCACGGTTAGAGTGCTGCCGGGAGTGAGCTGGATGTGGACGCGCCGGAGACGTGTGAGCGTGTTAAGTGTGGAGTCTCGAAGGCTACGTGTTCATGGGTTGGTGGAGCCGGGCTGCGGTGCGTGGCTCACATCTGGCCCACACGGTGTTCTCGGGGAGCACCCGTGCCCTGATGTAAGGGCTGACCCGTGCTGTGACCCCGCTGCTGAGAAAGTACAGGAAGTGCTGTCCTCTCTGGAACTTCCCTCTGTGGGGTGGAGGGCGGGGGCCTGTGTGACGTTGCCGAGAGCCCTGTGCACTGACAGACCCTCCCCTCGCGTGGGCAGGTGGGCGCCATCGTCATCACCCCTACGCGCGAGCTGGCCATTCAGATCGACGAGGTGCTCTCGCATTTCACCAGGCACTTCCCGCAGCTCAGGTAAACCCCGCGCACGCACGCACACACGCACTCACGCACGCTCGCACGCTCGCATGCACGCTCGCCCTCCCCGGGAGCGTGGCTGCTGCTGTGCGCACGTGCTCAGAGACCCGCTTACTGTTCAGCCAGATTCTTTGGATCGGAGGCCGGAATCCTGGAGAAGATGTCGAGAGGTTTAAGAAGCAAGGGTAAGCTCACTTCCGTCTGTCCGTTCTTTGCTTGCCCATGGCACTGAACCCAAGGGGAAGCGGTGTGTGTTGTGGGCCTGACTGAGCGCCTGTCCAGCAGCCTCTTCCGCAGAAGAGGTGTGTTCTCCAGGCCGGCTCGCTGACTGCTCCCGTGAGGCCCTGACGAACGCGGCTCGGGAGAACGGTGGAGATGATGTGGGCTTGGGGCTGTGGGGAGCTGGCCAGGAGGTGCCCCTCACTCACGTCCAGCTCAAAGGACCAGCCCAGGATTGCCAGGTTTTGAATTTTTAACATGGAAGATAAAATTCCACATTTGTACTTTTCTTTCCTTTTTAAAAAGATTTATTTATATGCAAGGCAGAGTAACAGAGAGAGAGGGAGAGCCAGATCTTTTATCTGCTGGCTCACTCTCTAACTGCCCACAGCAGCCAGGGCCGGGCCAGGCTGAAGCCAGGAGCCAGGAGCCCCATCCTGGTTTCCGACAAGGGTGGTTGGGCCCAAGCACTTGGGCAGTCTTGTGCTGCCTTCCCAGGCGTGTAAGCCGGATCGGAAGCAGAGCAGCTGGGACCTGAGCCCGCACTCTGCGAAGGGATCCTGGATGTATCCCACATGGAGGCTTGGCGCCTGCGCCACAGCGCCTGCTTTCCCGCTCGTGGCCTCCTTCTGTTCCCTGGGCCTTAGGGGACTTGGGGAAAGTGGCCCTTCCTGAAACCCGGTACTCACGGAACTCCCATGATGCAGAGGTGCTAAGGGCGACCCTCTTCCCCTAGCGGGAACATCGTCGTGGCAACGCCGGGCCGCCTGGAGGACATGTTCCGGAGGAAGGCTGAGGGCCTGGACCTGGCCAGCTGTGTGAAAGCCCTGGACGTCCTGGTGCTGGACGAGGCCGACCGACTTCTGGACATGGGCTTTGAGGCCAGGTGCGCCTCCGGGGGCTTTGGGGCGGGCGCAGGTGCCGTAGGAAGGAGGGTGGATGGATTCCTGTGGCCTCGGGGTCGCGCGTTTATCACCCGTGTGTGCTGGAAATCGTCCGCGAGCTCGACCTTCGGAACTCTGCCGCCCAGTTTGATTCGTTTCTGATCTTCCCTCGTGGTCTTTAAGTCTCTTTATTTTTATTTTTTGGTGTTTTTTTAGTGAACAGCTTCATTGGGATGTAATTCATATACCATCTCATTCGTTCATTTAAGCCTACAGTACAGTGATTTTTCATCTCAAAAGGTTTATTTATTTTTATTTATTTATTTATTTTATTTTTGACAGGCAGAGTGGACAGTGAGAGAGAGAGACAGAGAGAAAGGTCTTCCTTTGCCGTTGGTTCACCTTCTAATGGCCGCCGCGGCCAGCGCACTGCGCCGATCCAAAGCCAGGAGCCAGGTGCTTCTCCTGGTCTCCCATGGGGTGCAGGGCCCAAGCACCTGGGCCATCCTCCACTGCACTCCCGGGCCACAGCAGAGAGCTGGCCTGGAAGAGGGGCAACCGGGACAGAATCCGGCGCCCCGACCGGGACTAGAACCCGGTGTGCCGGCGCCACAAGGCGGAGGATTAGCCTAGTGAGCCGCGGCGCTGGCCTTCAGAAGGTTTAATTTCAGAGTCTTTTATGATCATTACACAGCCGTAACTATGTTCTTACGTTGGATAATTGAAAGTGTAAAGAAGCACGAATGACCATAATCCTTCTTAAGTCACACGCGCTGTAGGTACTGGGCGGCTCCCCGCAGTCTTGTTAAGCCCCGTGTGGCACAGCGGCCCTGTGTGTTGACGTGCTGGCGAGCGAGGCTGAGTGAGCCCTTTTGCAGCATAAACACCATCCTGGAGTTCCTGCCGAAGCAGAGGAGGACGGGTCTCTTTTCCGCCACGCAGACGCAGGAGGTGGAGAACCTGGTGAGGGCCGGCCTGCGCAACCCCGTCCGCATCTCGGTGAAGGAGAAGGGCGTGGCGGCCAGCAGCACGCAGAAGACGCCGTCCCGCCTGGAGAACTCCTACATGGTGAGCATGTGCAGCTCCGCCGGCCCGCCGCTCAGGGCTGTGGTCGCTGTCCCGGGATTTGCCTGCTGTTTCCCAGGATAGCAAATCAGAGACCTTGTGGCACCTTTCACATGCATTTGGGGACAGAATGAGGACAGATGGTCTGGGTGGCCCTCCTTGTGGCCTGAGTGACTAAGTCCACTGGGCATAGGGTTTGTGTTTTTATTTTAAAGATTTATTTTTATTTATTTATTTGCAAGAGTTACACAGAGAGAGAAGGAGAGGCACAGAGAGAGAGAGAGATCCTCCATCTGCTGGTTCACTCCCCAAGTGGCTGCAATGGCCAGAGCTGCACCCATCTGAGACCAGGAGCCAGGAGCTTCTTCCAGGTCTCCCAGGCGGGTGCAGGGGCCCAGGGACTTGGGCCCTCTTCCACTGCTTTCCCAGGCCATAGCAGAGAGCTGGATCGGAAGTGGAGCAGCCAGGACTTGAATTGGTGCCCGTATGGGATGCTGGCACTGCAGACAGTGGCTTTACCCACTACACCACAGCGCCAGTCCCAGCATAGTGTGTTTTTTAAAGAAAGGTATTTATTTATGAATTGGAGAGACAGAGGGTGCCCCCAGCTGCTGGTTCACTCCCCTGATGCCTACAGTGGCTGGGTCTGGGCTGAGGCCAAAGCAGGGAGCTGGGAACACATTCCGTGTCTTCCACATGGGTATCAGGAATGCAACCTGCTGCCTCGCAGGGTTGTCTTAGCAGGAAGCTGGAGTCAGGACTGGAGCTGGGCATTGAACTTGGGCATTCTGATGTGGGATGCAGGTTTGCAAACACCTGGCCCTGCTTCTGTGTGTGTGTGTGTGTGTGTGTGTGTTTTAAAGATTGATGTATTTGAAAGACTGCAAGGAGGGCGAGGCAGAGGTAGAGAGAGAGATCTTCCATCTGCTGATTCCCTTCCCAAATGGCTGTAACAGCCAGGGCTGGGCCAGGCTGAAGCCAGGAGCCAGGAGTTTCTTCCGAGCCTCCCATATGGATGCAGGGACCCAAGCACTTGGGCCATCTGCTGCTGCTTTCCTGGGTGCATTAGCAGGGAGCTGGATTGGGAGTGAAGCAGCCTGGACTTGAACCAGTGCCCACGTGGGTTGCTGACGGTGGCGGCCTTACTGTGCCACAGTGCTGGCCCCTGTTTATGTGTTTTAAGCACATTGTCCACTGCCCGTCCATGCCTGGGTGGGTGCAGGCACAGTTGCACACGGTGGTCTGGGCCACACAAGAGCCTGTGTCAGCAGGGCGGCTAGATGTGAAGGAGAGCGGAGTCAGAAGCCGAGTCTGAAGGAGACTGTCAGGCGGGGGCGTTCCACCTGCGCCCTCGTGTCCTGCGTGGTTTTTTTTTTTTTTTTTTTTTTTTTTTTTTGACAGGTAGAGTGGACAGTGAGAGAGAGACAGACAGAAAGGTCTTCCTTTGCCGTTGGTTCACCCCCAGAATGGCCGCCGAGGCCAGTGTGCTGGGGCCGGCGCACTGCGCTGATCCGAAGGCAGGAGCCAGGTGCTTCTCCTGGTCTCCCATGCGGGTGCAGGGCGCAAGCACTTGGGCCATCCTCCACTGCACTCCCAGGCCACAGCAGAGAGCTGGACAGGAAGAGGGGCAACTGGGACAGAATCCGGTGCCCCGACCGGGACTAGAACCTGTTGTGCTGGCGCCGCAAGCGGAGGATTAGCCTAGTGAGCCGTGGCGCCGGCCCGTGTCCTGCGTGTTTGACCGTGTCTGGAGGACCTCGCTGCGGTGTTCGGGAGTTTGTCCCAAGCATTGGGCGGGCCTCGGGGGGTAGGCTGTTCAGTGACCGGGCCACCTCATCCCTTTCCCCCTTCGATGGATGGGCCATGGGGCATCTGAGGGCGGGGCAGTGGGGAGGCAGCACCATCTAGGAGTTCAGAGCATCCCAGGCCAGGGGCACTGCTCACAGGGCCCAGCAGAACATTCCGGGCACGGGGCTTTTCTTTAGGGCCAGAGGGGGGCTCCGCAAGCCCTGAGCATGGCTGCTGCTCGTGGAGAGGGGAGCCCAGTCTCCCCTGGCTGCCGTGGACGCGGGCGTGGGCGCGGCTGCTGTCCCGTCCCTGGCACGGCCAGGCAGATTGAAGATAGAGTGAGCCTTCGAGTTTGTGCCTCAGAAGCCGCCCCTCGTGCACATGCCTGCGTGTTGCTGAGTGTTCTTCAGCCTCTTCGGAGCAGGAGCTGGGGGTGGGGGCCAGGGCAAGCCTGCCTGGAGGGACACAGCCTGCCTGGGGGCCAGGGCAAGCCTGCCTGGGGGGCACAGCCTGCCTGGGGGCCAGGGCAAGCCTGCCTGGGGGGCACAGCCTGCCTGGGGGCCAGGGCAAGCCTGCCTGGGGGGCACAGCCTGCCTGGGGGACACAGCCTGCCTGGGAGGGCACAGCCTGCCTGGGGGACACAGCCTGCCTGGGGGGGGCACAGCCTGCCTGGGGGACACAGCCTGCCTGGGGGGGACACAGCCTGCCTGGGGGGGCACAGCCTGCCTGGGGGACACAGCCTGCCTGGGGGGGGCACAGCCTGCCTGGGGGACACAGCCTGCCTGGGGGGGCACAGCCTGCCTGGGGGGGACACAGCCTGCCTGGGGGGGCACAGCCTGCCTGGGGGGGACACAGCCTGCCTGGGGGGGCACAGCCTGCCTGGGGCGGGACACAGCCTGCCTGGGGGGCACAGCCTGCCTGGGGGACACAGCCTGCCTGGGGGACACAGCCTGCCTGCCTGGGGGGGCACAGCCTGCCTGGGGGACACAGCCTGCCTGCCTGGGGGGGCACAGCCTGCCTGGGGCGGGACACAGCCTGCCTGGGGGACACAGCCTGCCTGCCTGGGGGGGCACAGCCTGCCTGGGGGGCACAGCCTGCCTTTGGCCCTTAATGAACGGGGTGAACTTGCAGGCCCCACTGGAGAGCATCGGTGCACACCCACGGAAGGTGTTTGGGGCGGTTCGTAGTTCCCAGGCGGTGCCGATGCTGCTGCTGCACACTGTTGTGTGGTCGCAGTCCTGCTCTGCCCGTTTGCATTCACCCACGTGAACGTGTAGACACATGAGTTCATGGAAAGGAATTTGAGACTGGGAGTGGTGGCAAAAATCAGGGGGATGCACTCAGGTGACTCGAATTGGGGCTGGAATGGAGCACCTGGTGCATTGAGAGAGACTGTGGAGACCGTCCCTGAGACGCCCCGAGACCCCCCGAGACCCCCTGTACCTGTGCAGGAGAGACTGGAGAGCCCTGCAGGACTCTCCATGTAGCTGTGCTCACCCCTGCGGCCTGGTGCCTGCGCGTGTGCCGGGGCAGTGTGCTCACCCCTGCAGCCTGGTGCCTGCGCGTGTGCCGGGGCAGTGTGCTCACCCCTGCAGCCTGGTGCCTGCGCGTGTGCCGGGGCAGTGTGCTCACCCCTGCGGCCTGGTGCCTGGCGTGTGCCGGGGCAGTGTGTTCACCCCTCCGGCCTGGTGCCTGCGCGTGTGCCGGGGCAGTGTGCTCACCCCTCCGGCCTGGTGCCTGCGCGTGTGCCGGGGCAGTGTGCTCACCCCTCCGGCCTGGTGCCTGTGTGTGTGCCGGGGCAGTGGGCTCACCCCTCCGGCCTGGTGCCTGTGTGTGTGCCGGGGCAGTGTGCTCACCCCTGTGGCCTGGTGCCTGTGTGTGTGCTGGGGCAGTGTGCTCACCCCTCCGGCCTGGTGCCTGCGTGTGTGCCGGGGCAGTGTGCTCACCCCTGTGGCCTGGTGCCTGCGTGTGTGCCGGGGCAGTGTGCTCACCCCTGTGGCCTGGTGCCTGTGTGTGTGCTGGGGCAGTGTGCTCACCCCTGTGGCCTGGTGCCTGCGTGTGTGCCGGGGCAGTGTGCTCACCCCTGTGGCCTGGTGCCTGTGTGTGTGCCAGGGCAGTGTGTTCACCCCTCCGGCCTGGTGCCTGCGTGTGTGCTGGGGCAGTGGATGACATCATTGCGTAGTTACGTCACTGTGTGACTGAGATGAGCATCGTGGCAGCGCCCTGTGGGCTCCATGCTGGGTGCCCTGACGCTCCTGAGCCCAGTCTGTCCGTTCACAGAGGACTCAGATCCCTGAGATTCATGGCTGAGGCTGAAAATAGCTGAGGAGTCACCGTTGCCAGTGTTTTCTCTCACTGGTTTTCCTTCTCTGCAGGTGTGTAAGGCGGATGAGAAATTTAATCAGCTGGTGCATTTTCTTCGCAATCATAAGCAGGAAAAACATCTCGTCTTCTTCAGGTGACACTCTAGGCCCTGGGCAGGGGGGTGGGGGTTCAGGCCCCTCTCCCCCAGCTAAAGTGCAGGTGCACTGGCCCTCGGGTTTGGGATCCGTCAGGACAGGGCTGTGGGGGGGCCTTCGGCTGCATGTAACTGAGAGCCCAGCTTCCTGGCTCCAATGGGAGGGGTCGCCTTTCTCCTGCAGAAAGCAGTCCAGAAGTAGCCATGTCCGACGCTGGCTTAAGGCCTCTGCACGGTCAGGGCTAATGTTCCTGGGACCTCCTTGGTCTTCGCTCCCCTGTGTCACCCTCTGTCACATGCTGGTGCAGGTGGAAAGGCCGGGAGGGGCAGTGGTGGCCAAGCTGAAGGCTGTCTCGGGCAGCCTCCCGTGGAGACGGGAGCAGGGCACGCTTCAGTAGAGGGCAGCTGGCCAACAGCCCCGGAAGACGGGGGCAGTGAGCCCTCGAGAGCTTCGCGGGCTCAGTGGAAGGGCGCAGTCCTGGGGGATGACCCCTCTCAGCCCCTTTTGTCCTTGAATGGCAGTCAGAAGGCTGACATCTCTTGGGGTGGTGTTGTGGCACAGTGGGTTAGGCTGCCATTTGGGACACCCGTAGCCCACACTGGAGTGCTGGTTTGAGTGCTGGCTGCTTGTTTCTGATCCGGCTTCCTGCCGCTGCATCCCGACAGGCAGCAGATGACGGCTGAAGTGTTGAGGCCCTGCCACTCACATCGGAGACTCAGGTGGAGCTCTGGGCTCCTGGCTTTGGCCTGGCCAGCCCTGACATTTGCAGACATTTGGGGAGTGAGCCAGCACAGGGGAGATACATCTCTCTGTCTTTCAAGGAGATGAAAGAATATAAATTAAGACGATCTGGGCGAGAGGCTGTGGTTGGCCATCTGTGGGCCGTGTGCTGAGCCCCAGGCAGCTGGGGTGCTCTGAGATCTCGGGCCCTCGTGCCGGGGAGATTCCCTCGCTGGACCAGCTTTTGGCAGTGGGAGTACAGCCTTGTGGCTTTAACACCTGTTTAATGGATTCTGCCAATAGATTGGCCTTTCGTTGGCGGAGAGGGTCTCGGATCTGGAGCTGAGCCGCGGCTGTTACTTGGAGCCGTTCCCTCCCTGTTCTCCCAGAGAGGATCAGGACTCAGTCGGCCGTCCGCGTCTGTGCTCACGGCCGCCTGCCCCAGCTTAGGACGACCAGCGTGGCCCGCGCCGCTCAGCCTGTGTCCCCTCTCGCAGCACCTGCGCCTGCGTCGAGTACTACGGGAAGGCCCTGGAGGCCCTGGTGAGGGGCGTGCAGATCCTGTGCATTCACGGCAAGATGAAGCACAAGCGCAATAAGATCTTCATGGAGTTCCGCAGCCTGCCGAGGTGCGCCGGCCGCACGGGGGGAGGGTCGGCTTCCGCGCGCCGCCCCGCTCGCTCCCAGCCCCTCTGCCCCGGCCGCCGCCCCGCTCGCTCCCAGCCCCTCTGCCCCGGCCGCCGCCCCGCTCGCTCCCAGCCCCTCTGCCCCGGCCGCTGCCCCTGCCCCTGCCCCTGCACGCGTTGTTTTCTCACCTGGACCTTCTCCGCGTTCCCGGTTTCCACATCTCCACAGCCGCTCCGCCCTTCTCTGGCCTCAGCCCCACCAGAATCTGGGGTCCACAGAGACTGAAACCGGGTGTTTTGCTCACACGCCTGGCCCTGGGGAGGACAGAGGGGCAGGGGGAGCAGCCGGGAACCCGCGGTCCCGAGTCTCACTGGTCTCCGTGTGTGGACATACTTTTCTGCCGTCTCCTCCCTGGGCAGCACAGGGCAGAGGGGCACCTTCCGTGCTGCCCCTGTCCTTGTTTTCTGAGGCAAAGAATGAGACCACCCATTTAGTTTTTCACATGGAAATACACATTTAGAAACCCTTTCTCTGCCCCTCCTCACAGTTTTCATTGGGAATTTGTAAAGGATTGGGGATTCTTAGGGGAAAAAAACATCAAATTATCATCCATGAGCATCCGCTTGTGAACAGCTCCAGAGCCGCGTGTGGGTGTGGGTGAGGTCGGTGCAGACTGGTGAGCGAGACGCGGCCTGCTCGCTCACCGTGCCGTGTGCCTGCCGTGTTCTCTTCCAGTGGGATCCTGGTGTGCACGGACGTGATGGCCCGCGGAATAGACATTCCCGAAGTGAACTGGGTTTTGCAGTACGACCCGCCCAGCAGTGCGAGGTACAGTGTGGTGGGATGCTGCCCTCTGTCCTGGAATTGAGCCTCATGGAACAAGAATCCTGAGTGTGAGAAATGTACTCCGAGGTTCACCAGAACAGTGTTTATTTATTTTTATTATCTTTTATTTACTTGAAAGGCAGAGTTGGAGAGAGAGGAGAGCCAGAGACAAATTGGCCATCTGCTGGTTCACTCCCCAGATGGCCATAAAAGCCAGGGCTGGGCCATGCCAAAGCCAGGAGCTTCTTCCAGGGTTCCCACGCAGGTGCAGGGGCCCAAGGACTTGGGCCATCCTTTGCTGCTTTCCCAGGCACATTAGGAGGGAGCTGGATTGGGAGTGAAGCAGCCGGGACTTGAACTTGCGCCCATACGGGATGCCAGCCCTGCAGGTGGAGGTTTAACCTGTGACATCACAGCACTGGCCCCTACAGAACCGTCTCTCGCCTCACAGAGACACAGCCTGTGGCATGTCATTAGTGACACATTGCAGCAGTTACAGAAATGTTTAAATGAAAAAATTTCCGCCCATGAAAATATATTTTCCCCACAGAAACAAAATCCACAACACATGCTCCCAAACACGGGAAGTGGCTACTTCAGAGATTAGACTTTGTTTATTCTTTGTATTTTACATTGTTCCCAGATTTCTCACTGGGACCATGTCCTGCCTGTATGGCCCAAGAAAGACAGGAAAGTAGTTGGAGCAGAGGTGAGGTGTCTCTGGGAGTGTGTGCAAGGCCCCCTAGTGGCAGCCCTCCATCTCCCACCCTGGTCAGCAGCCGTGTCAGCCCTGAGCTGTGGGGTTGGAGCTGCATGCTGTCGCCCCACACTGCTGCCACCCCGCGCTCACCGTCACCCCGCGCTCCTGCCCCTCCCGCAGTGCGTTCGTGCATCGCTGTGGTCGCACCGCACGCATCGGCCACGGCGGCAGCGCTCTGGTGTTCCTCCTGCCCATGGAAGAGGCCTATGTCAATTTCCTAGCAATTAACCAAAAAGTAAGTTTTCATTCATTTTATTTATCTGAAAGGTAGACATGGACCTCCCTTCTGCTGGTTCTCTTCACGCCAGGCTGAAACCAGGAGTTGGGGGTTCAGCCCAAGTGATGCGGACCAGACCACTTGGGCGGTCGCATGCCACTTCCCAGGGGGCACCGGGACGCTGGAGTGAGGCAGAGCTCGGATGCCAACCCTGGCCTGCAGTCGGGGATAAGGGTGTCCAAGCTGCATCAAATGCCCAACCCAGCTGTCTGTTTAGGATGTCAGGGAGAGGCTGCAGACTCATGCGGGCTGGGCTGGTCCTGCCAGGGACCCCGGCTGGCTTCATGTCTGTGGAGGTGCCGGCCTTCTTGGGGCCCGGGCCAGGGTCCCAACTTAGGACTGCCGACCTAGGGTTACCATCCTTTGCTACCACGTCAGAATTATCACATGGACTCTGTTTCAATAATCTTTAAGAACAGTTTTTGAACCAAGTGATATACTTGGGTGGGATCGGCTTTAGGCCTGTGAGTGGGGAGCCCCCGGGCTGGCTGAGGTGATGCTGGCGTGGGAAGCTGAGCCCGTGGTCTCTGTGCAGTGTCCCCTGCAGGAGATGAAACTCCAGAGGAACCCAGCGGACCTGCTGCCCAAGCTCAGGTCCATGGCCCTGGCCGACAGAGCTGTGTTTGAAAAGGGCATGAGAGCCTTTGTGTCCTACATCCAGGCCTACGCGAAACACGAGTGCAACCTCATCTTCAGGTTAAAGGGTGAGCTGGGCCTGGCCGTGCCGCGTCGTCGGAGCTGTGTGACAGTCTTGGGGTCAAGCCGCGCTCTCGCAGCGCTGTTAGGCGCCTGTCAGGGTCACTGCCTCCAGGCGTTTCAAAGGGCGACTTCCTGGGCTTTGAGCAGACGCCGTCCACCAGTGCCCAGCTGCCGAGTCTTCCTTCCACCCTGTACACGTGCAGCTGTCCTTGTGTTCAGAGAGTGACTCCACTAGGTCCTGTGGTTAGGAGCGGTACTGTCGGGAACCTGCCCTGCGTGGGTGGGCTAATGCTGCTCTTTGTTCAATCAGATCTCGATTTTGCCAGCCTTGCTCGCGGCTTTGCCCTGCTGAGGATGCCCAAGATGCCGGAACTGAGAGGGAAGCACTTCCCAGACTTCGTGCCTGTGGACGTTGACACGGACACGATCCCATTTAAAGATAAAACGAGAGAGAAGCAGAGGCAGAAACGACTGGAACAACAAAGGACAGAGAAAAGCGACAATGAAGGGAGAAGAAAATTCATAAAAAATAAAGCTTGGTCCAAGCAGAAGGCCAAAAGGGAGAAGAAGAAAAAAATGAGTGAAAAAAGGAAAAGGCAAGAGGTACAGTTGGCCACTTTATCCCTTGTTTAAGTTTCCATAGCTTAGCATTCCGAACAGATTGTATGGTGTGATGGTGACAAACTGCTGGTTTCACGTGGGTATGGCTGGAGAAATTCAGGGGTTTGTGGCTTCTCCTGCATTTAGGGCTCCGATATCGAAGAGGAGGACATGGAGGAGCTCCTTAATGACACACGGCTCTTGAAGAAGTTAAAGAAGGGCAAGATCACCGAGGAGGAATTCGAGAAGGGGGTGTTGACAAGCGGGAAAAGGCCGAGCGCGGCGGCGGACGTCGGGGGCTCTGACGTGGAAGACGCCTGCTGATGCCCAGTCCCTGGTGAGCATAAGACCAGGGCCGGCTGGCGAGCAGGGCTGAGGGCCTGCCTCAGTCAGACACGGGGGGACTGCACGCTTGTCTGGGTTTTACTGAAATCCCAGCAGCCCTGGAGGCGGGTGTCACAGAAGGAAGTTTGACAGGGAGTGAACACAGGCGTCAGCGCTGGCCTTGGTCGCTGTCTGTCCCTGGATTTCACACTGCAGTCTGCTTTATGCAGCTCCTTAGCACGGTCAGGCGCCCGACCGCCCTGGGCCCCTGCGCCTACGCGTACTGCCCTTGGAGCCCTGCGCCTACGTGACCGCCCTGGGCCCCTGCGCCTACGCGTACTGCCCTTGGAGCCCTGCCTGCAGCTCCTCATAGCGGGCGAGTGTGCTGGGCTTTTGCTGTTTTAAGAATCACCCCCAGGCAAGTATCAGAAAAGCGGAGGAATCGGGTCCTATTCTGGGGAGGGCGTTTTGAATTTCACGCCTCCTGTTGAATAAACCATGCCTTTCTGATTGGCGTTTCTGTCGTTGTGGAGCGCCAGGCAGAGCTCCTATGCCAATTCGCTGCCCTAAAGCCTGCAACAGCTCGGGCTGGGCCAGGCCAAAGCCAGCAGCCCCAGAACACAATCCAGGTCCCCGAGGGTGGCAGGAACCCCGTCATTTGAACTGTCATCAGTGACTCCCCGTGTCTGCATCAGCAGGAAGCTGGAGCTGGAACCCAGGAACTGAGGTGGGGCACGCGAGTGTATTAACCACCAGGCCAGCGCCCGGCCTGGCTGTGGGCGTGCTGCCGTGTCTGACCAGAAGGGCCGGCCTGCCTTACTGATGCACACATCAACATCGTGATCCTAGTTTATTTGAAAAGATGCCGAACCTGTTCCCAGGCAGGATGTTTAGGACCCAGACACATGTAAAGGAAGTCACCATCTCACAGAGGCAGAATGTGAGGTTGCAGTGTCGGGGAAGGTGTCTCCGTGTGTGCCAGGCTGTGCGGGCTACGAGCGCCCGTGCTGTTTCTCCCTCCCCCTCAGTGGTCTCCCGTGGGGCGGGAGCCAGTGCAGGGATGCGGCACTCGGCCCTGTTCACCGCCTGAGCCAGAGGCACACTCGGCTCGTGTTCTTCACCTTCCTGCAAGGCGCCGTGTGACAGGCGTCCCGGTCACGCCGTGGAGGCCTGCGCTGCTTTCGGCAAACTGTTTGTTGAGCTGCTGAAAACCTAGGATGAGCTTCTGGAGACCACAAGCACAGTCTGGGTTGAGGGCCGTGAATGCATTGCGAGGCGAGTAAAAAAGACCCCAAGATTTCAGACTTGAAGTTTCCAGTGGTCCGTCAATGTTCATTAAAACAGTGCAGTTCTGGCTGGCTCGCCGGGGGCGTCGGCAGACAGGGGCCTGCGTTACAGATACAGCTTGATGAGCTCATCGCTGACCGCGGAGGGCGTCAGCACACCCAGGTCCGTGAACAGCAGGGTGATCAAGGACGGGGCGGTGTAGTCGACCCATGGGTGCTCCTCTTTGAGGTCCTGCCCGGTCTCTACGGACTTGAGCAGAGTGTCTGCCTTGTACTGCGGGGATAAGAGCACGCGTTAGTGGGAGGCCTTGCGCCAGCTCGGGCGTGCTGCTACCTCAGACAGCTCTGGCAGCGTGTGGCCAGGAGGGGGCCAGTGCTTGCCACGTGCCAGGCCCTGTGGACAGCCGGAGTCCCCAGCTCCTGTCAGATGACAGACAGGAAGCAAGCCAAGTGACAGTGAAAGCACTTGCCCCTGGTCACAGGTTTGCGGGGGTGGGGGGGGAGCTGAGTGGATTCCAAAGCTGGGACCCCGGCTGCCAGCCTCCTGGCTCCTCTCCTCACACTCCACTGGCTATGTGGGCAGGGGGCTGCAGACTGAAATTCTGGGGACAAACATGGAGTGCAAGTTTTAGGACCCCCGACTGATGCTGGAGAGAACGGCAGTGGCAGGTGAATGTCTAACCGGAACGCTGGTGGCACTAGTTCTTCCAAGGGTTAGGCCGAGTCTCCCATGCCCCCTCTTGCCTTAAACTTATCCGGCACGTCCTGCTGGTTGAGCGGGAAGAGCCGCACAAACTTGAAGCTTTCTGCGACCACGTAAAAGGGCTTGTTCTGTGCCTTGGCGCACACAGCCATCTGGTTGGTTCCAATCTGGGAAGACAGGGCGAAGGGGAGCTCCTAGAGCAACTCTGACGTGGAACCCGCAGCAAGGGCACAGGGCTTGGAACCAGAGGGCCTTTCACAGAGGTCCCAGAGTCAGAGGTCCCTCCGCACCCGAGAAGACGCCCAGCATCACTCGACCTGAGGGCCCTGAGGGAAATGGACCTCCGCGCGTCAATGAGACACCAGCCAGGGCTTTGGCTCGGATCCACCATGTTCACAGGGGCAGGACGCAGAAACAGCCCAAACAGCCCAAGCTCTGGGATGCACACACAGCGCGCCCCCCACTTCAGTGCCACACATCACGTGGTACTGCGTAGACATGCAGGCTGCTTACGGATCAGTTAAAAAGGGAACAGTGAGGGCCAGACACGTGCCCCGTGCCTACACCTCGGCAACACCGTGCCCAGCCACAGCAGCCGCGCTCACAGGTAGCAGAAAGCAGAGTGGAGGCGACCAGGGCCTTCAGGGAGGCTGAAAGGCTGGTAGGTGTTTAATCGCGACGGACTGCGTGAGGAAAGAATGGAAAGTTCTGGAAACAGACAAGGACAGTCAGCGAGGCTGTGAATGTACTCAGAGCTGCTGAGCCGCACTTATTATGTGGCAGATCTGTTCATGTATCGACCACAAATGAGAATAAACTGCAGACCGACGTTTCCCAGATAAGCAATGCAGAGAAGATGAATTATGCTGAGGTCAGCGCCCCATTAAAATAACAAAACTGCCAACCCCAACTCTAATTAAGACTCGTTTCGTGTAAATACAAATTATGCTGTGTAAATATAAATTACCCCATCTTAATTTATGCACATCAATCTCCAAGGAAAATTAGAACAAAATTTGATTGAGCGGTGCAGTGGCTTATGGGATCTCACAGGGCGGCCCTGGCGTGGAGAGGCACACAGCACTGTCAGCGCCCAGGTCAGCGGGGAGAGGGGCGGCCCCTACCTTGTTAATGATGCCTCCGTTTTCTACAACTCCTTCAGCACCAACTATGACGAGGTCCACTTTCTCCATGATATAGCTAAAGGAACGGGAACAGCAGTGCTGTTGACGCTGGGCCCTCTGGGAAGATCCGTATTCCCTTTCAGTACGGAAGGCGCCAGCCACGATGACCTTTTATCAAAAGAGCACTCGAGCCCGGCACTGTAGCAGAGGCACGCGGCGACCTCAGCCAGGCGCGTGCGTGGCTCAGAGGGGTTTGGCTGCCTCCAGGTATACTGAGAGTGTTCCTGACTTCCTTCACCGCCCACCTTGGGCGCTTGCCTCCCACGAACCATCACTGCTGTTCTAACACCCACAATCCAAGGGACGCGTGACGCTGGTCTCGGGAGAGAAGCTGCTTGGTGAGCTGAGTGCCCAGCACGCTGCTGCCCCTTCCCCCCAGGGGAGCCCAGCCTGCACGGAGGCTGCCCCAGCACCCAGGACATGACAGCCCAGCCTGCCCACGGCTGGCCCCGGGAGCAGCTGAGCCTTGGCTGGAGAGCCCCGATGACCTTGACCGCTGACCCACCCGGCCTTTGGACCTGGCTCTTTGAGTGCACTGACCCCCCTGCCCGTGGCACACGGCTCAGCAGGTGACACCCCACAGCCCATCTTCCACCCACACTGTCCAGACCTTGTAATGCCTTGCTTGTTAGGGCAGCTCTTAATTAAGAGGCGGGACGCTGCCCAGGGCGGTTTTATGACTGCCTCAAACCTTCACCCTGGGGGGGGCAGGGGCTGGTGGTGCTTACCCGACAGCAGCGTCCAGCACCACGGTGACGGGGACGTTGAGGTGGCAGAGGGCTTTGGCCATTTTCTTACTGAAGATGACATTTTGAGAACGTTAGATAAAGTGACGTCCCTGAGTCACTGAAGCTGGGCACTGACAAGCCGTGTCGGTGGAAACTCAGTTATATGGACTGTGGTGCGGATTCCAAGGCTTGCACTTGGGCTCCTTTAGGAAAGAACTGAAAGCAGTCGGACGGAAGAGGGAGGAGGGGGAGAGTCTCCCATCCTAGAGGCCTGCAGCAGCTGGGCTGGGGCAGGCAAAGCTGGGAGCCGGGAATGCCATCGGTCTCCCACGAGGTTGGCAGGGGCCCAAGTGTTTGGGCCATCTCCTGCTGCCTCCCAGCTGCACTGGCAGGGAGCTGGACTGGAGGCAGGGCCGACACAGCACAGGAGTGGCTTTCTCACGTGGCAGCTTAGCCTGCTGCGCCACGACACCCAGCCTGAGAGCTGGGGTCAATGGGGTTCTCTAGGAAGCAGTATGTCAGGAGAACTACACTCTCAGGGACTCTGGGTAAGACAAGGAAACTAAAAGAAAAAAAGACATGTTTTGCTTTATCTTCCATATAGAGATGGAGATGTCAATTACCTATTCCTTGATAAGCACTTTTTAAAAATTTTTATTTATTTGAAAGAGTTACAGAGAGGTAGAGACATAGAGGTTTTCCATCCACTGGTTCACTCCCCAAATGGCCACAACGCCTGGGGCTGACCCAATCCAAAGCTAGGAAACCCACTGGGGTGCAGGGGCCCGAGGACTTGGGCCATCCTCTGCTACTGTCCCAGGCACATTAGCAGGGAGCTGGATTGGAAGTGGAGCAGCCAGATCTTGAACCAGTGCCATTCGAGATGCCAGCACTCCAGGCTGGGACTTTAACCAGCTATGCCATAGCGCCGACCATGATAAAAATTTTCCAATGAAACAATCTCTCGGGTCAAGCATCTTGGCCCAGTGGGTTAAGTTGCCACCTAGTGTGCTGTTATGCCATGTGAGAGCCAATTCAAGCCTCAGCTGCTCCAATTCCCATCCAGTCCTTGCTAATGTGCCTGGGAAGGCAGTGGAAGATACCCAAGTACTTAGGCACCACCACCCACGCTGAGAGGCGACAATGGAGTTCCTGGCCCCTGGCTTTGGCCTGGCCCAGCCCTGGCTGTCTTGGCCATTTGGGGAGTAAACCAGCAGATGTCTCTGTCTCCTCTATCTCTGGAAATCTGCTTTTCAAACAAATCTTGCTAAAAACAAACAAAAATAAACAATTTTGTACTATGGCTTATTGCAGATTCCTGGTGAACCAAAGGCAAGGCTGTGTGGGGGGTGCATGCTGTGTCCGTGCTGTGGCTACGGTGGGTGCTGGGCAGGCTGCATGGGGCGTGCTCTGTGCCTGCGGGTCTGTGGTGGGTGCTGGGCAGGCTGTGCGGGGGTGTGCGGGCCTGCTCTGTGCCTGCAGGTCTGTGGTGGGTGCTGGGCAGGCTGTGCAGGGGTGTGCGGGCCTGCTCTGTGCCTGTGGGTCTGCGGTAGGTGCTGGGCAGGCTGTGCAGGGGTGTGTGGGGTGTGCTCTGTCCTGGCGTGGCTGGTGGGCAGGCTGTGTGGGGGTGTGGGGCGTGCTCTGTCCTTGCGTGGCTGGTGGGCAGGCTGTGCGGGGGTGTGGGGCGTGCTCTGTCCTGGCGTGGCTGCGCAGGGAGTACTTGCCCGGACAAGTCCGGCTGCGACTCTGTGATGTAGACACTGAAGCGCTTCTTGGCCGCCACGGCTGCCTCCAGGACCCTCAGGACCACCCTGGAGTAGGCGTGCGTCAGTATCCTCTGTGGGCAGAGAGGAAGTTGGTCAGACGGCCACTCGCGGGGTCCCCCGCCACCTGCACGGTGCCGCGTGTTCCCGGCGCCCAGGCTGCTGTCTCCTCACGGACCAAGGGTACTCAGAACGGAGCCCTGTCGTGTGCTGAGTTTCGATGCTGAGAGCGGTGCTGGCAGGGGACTGCAGTGTGGGTCTCCCCTCCCCTGGCAGGTGCAGGGGGGACCCCCACTGAGGTCCTCGTGAGCCTCAGAGGCCTGGCTGCCTGTGTTCTGGGCTGTGACCTGTGCACTGGGGCCTGCAGGCACCAGGCAGGGCACCCATCCAGGCAGGCCCGCAGCAAGGCAGACAGGCCACGGGCCTGGGCGCCACAGCTCCTGCTAGTGCCACGTGCTCTGACCACTGCCAGGCGTGTGATTTGGAGAGAAGCTGAAGGTTCACGACTTCCATGCTGGCTAACTAAGTTTAAAACCTTCCATGGGTGCAATCCGCAGAATCGGCAGGACCACCGGCTAGGCAGAGCCCAGGGGCTGTAACGCACAGGGGTGGACACGGCTCCAGCTCCTTTCAGGGCCTCACGCCAGAGCCTGGTAGAACTGCAGGTTCCCAGGCCCTGCCCCAGAGCCTCCTGAATCAATCTGGACTGAGCCAGGACCCCCACATTCCAACTCGTGCGGCTCTCCTCTACGTGCAGTCTGAATCGGTGCCCAGTAGGGATGCAGGTGCAGTGGGACGTGTGTGCAGCACGCCGCCCTGGAGCAGGGGCCCACAGAAGCCCAGCGGAACGCAGTGTGGCGCCACGGCCTGGGCGAGAGGCAGTGCCAGCCTCCCCTCGTTTCTCCTGGCTTCTGTCCTGAACAACACTTCAAAGGTGGGGGCAGGTGATGAAACAGCGCAGCATTTAAGAGCCTGGCTGTGGTTGGACACGCTCGTGGGCCGCGGAGCCGTCTGCTGGCGGGAGGGACGCCACTCAAGGCGATTACCCTGTGCCGGGAGCCTGGCTGAGCGCATTTCCTGTCCCCTCACACAGCCCTGCATCGCTGTGACAGCGTCGCAAACCAAGTCAAGGGGAACACACCGTCCTCGGGCAGACGCCAGCAGGAACACGTGCTGAGAGCTGCTCTGGGACTTAATTCAGGGCAGTCTGCTGCTCCCTAACCAGGGAGCCACCCCTGGTAAAGCACCTCATTAAGTCGGGACCGGCCCTTGCTGTCCCCTCTGCCCTCCGCCTGTTCCAGTGACACCGACGACGTGTGCATCCACAAGCACTGGCTGTGTGCCAGGCACGCTGCCGCAGATCAAACGGCCGTGCAGAGAGGTGGAGCGACTCGTCCGAGGCTGCGCAGCGGGAGAGGTGGGGCTGGGAGTCTGACTTCGAGCGCCTGCTGCTCCTCACCACAGGGCGGGCATCTACTCACCGCCCCATCTTTGATGAAAGTGTGGCACAGGTCTGCAATTTTATTTCGCGACAGAGAAATTCTCCTGAGAAAAAGCTCTCCCCGCTCAATCATGATCTTCTTACACTTGGAATAATCCTGGGAGGGAAGGCACAGATGAGGGGGGAGACCAGGTCAGCGAGAACATCTGCAGCAGCAGACAGACGGCGGGGGGCGGGGCGGGGCCAGGCTGGACAGGCAGGGCAGGGCTGGGCTGGGCTGGACAGGCCGGGCCGGGCTGGATGGGCAGGGCAGGGCAGGGCAGGGTAGGGCAGGGCAGGGCTGGACAGGCCGGGCAGGGTGGGCCGGGCAGGGCAGGGTGGGCAGGGCCTACCGAGTACTCCAGGGAGGTGAGGCTGATGAAGCGGAGGAAGAGCTCCCCGCCGGAGGACACGGCCACGGAGGAGTCCACGCCGCACAGCGTCTCTATGGCGCTGGTGAGATTCGCTCTCAGGCCCTGGATCGTCTCCCCTGAGATGAGCAAAGGCGCGGTGCTCATGTCGGCATCCAGCGCCTTACTGGGCCATTCGTGCACTCACTCCGGCCAGGCACCGCGTGGAGCCGGGCACACGCTGTGACCCAGGCAGGCGGGCTCTGCCGACGGCGCTCCCTCCCCCGTGGAGGCGGCGACCAGCAAGCACTCTCAGACACACACAAGCCAGTTCCAGGCTGTCACGAGGAGACAAAAGCCGGGCGATGACTAGGAGGGCCACTGAGTGGGGTCGGCCTCTGGGGCGGAGGGCCGTCCACACCGTGACCTGAAGAGGAAGGGCGGAGCCACAGGAGGCCCACCCACCACCGTGCTGAGGCCCTGAGACGGGGACCACCCGAGACCAGGGGGCTGAGGCCCGTGCTGGGGGCAGCGCAGGGGCCGGGACGAGGAAGTGTTTGGAAGTCACTCCAAGCCCAGAGCGCCACGCTGCAGGCTGCCCTAGGACACGTCCCCAGCCAGCCCTGGGATGGAAGGAGGCTTCAGTACTGCTGTGTTGCCGATACGAACGTCACGCCAGGCCCAAGTGCTCACACTGAGAAAGCTGGCGAGCAGACTCACGACGGGCACCGCTCCTGCCCGACGCATCAGTCCCCGAGTGCCCACAACAGCCAGGGCTGGGCCAGGTGAGGCCGGGAGATGAGAAGGCAACACAGGCGGCAGGGACGCCCGTACCGGAGCCAGCGCCTGCTGCCTTCCGGGGTGCACGGTCCCAGGAAGCGGGGACTCAAACCCAGACGCTCCGGCCGTTTTCCTACCCTGCGTCTTCACTGCGAGGCCAGACACCGGCCCCTCCACTGCCGTGACTTAGGCCTCAGGGCTCCCTTGACTTAAAGGGCTCCCTCTGCACTCGGGATAATTCGAGGGCTGCTGCCAGTGAAAGGGCCAAGCTGAGCTTGGGACTGCGTTACCCTGGGCGGGCGCCCCCGCCTCTCTCACTTGGGCCAGCATCCCCAGGGCTGACCTGTGTCTCTCTTCAGGAACTCCAGCAGGGTCCGGATGGCGGCCACCGCCGAGGCCATGTCAGGGTCTCCTCTCATCTGAGACTTGAAGTACTGGATCAGCTCTGGGAAGGGAGAGAGACGGGGCCCACTCAGTTCATCTAGCAGGTGGACGACTACATGACAGCTAGAGACGAAGTAATAATAAAAATCCCTTGTTTTCAGAACAGGGATGGGAGAGCCACGGAGTGGGGTTCAGAAACCCCACGCCCCGACGGTCGTCTTCCTTCCCCTCCTCGGCCCAAGTTCTTTTTTTTTTTTTTTTTTTTTTTTTTTTTTTTTTTTTTTGACAGGCAGAGTGGACAGTGAGAGAGAGAGAGACAGAGAGAAAGGTCTTCCTTTGCCGTTGGTTCACCCTCCAATGGCCGCCGCGCTGCAGCCGGCGCACCGCACTGATCCAATGGCAGGAGCCAGGTGCCCCCTCCTGGTCTCCCATGGGGTGCAGGGCCCAAGCACCTGGGCCATCCTCCACTGCACTCCCTGGCCACAGCAGAGAGCTGGCCTGGAAGAGGGGCAATCGGGACTAGAACCCGGGGTGCCAGCGCCGCAAGGCGGAGGATTAGCCTAGTGAGCCGCGGCGCCGGCCCGGCACAAGTTCTGAAAGGACCCCGGACTCGGCCATCGGGCCAGCTTCTCCTGCATCGCTCCTGCAGCCCGCGCGAACCCAGGTCCACTCGGGCGCACGCCGACGCCCGCCCACTGCGCCCCTGCATTCCTTCCCGACGCCTCGCGCCTCCGCCGAGGGCCGCCGGGGCGGGGGTCGCGCTCCTGACACCGCGCCCTCCGTCTCGCGAGGGACTGCCCGGCGACGAGGCGCGCGTGGGCGGGGCCTGCGGGCGTCTCAGGGTCCCGGGGCAGCGAGAGCGGTCTGGTGGCGCCGGCCCCGGCCGAACAGCCCGAGCTCGTACAGGGACCTCTCCCGGAGCCCTGCCCCGGTGTGCGAAGCCGGGACGAACGTCCACGCGGCTCCGCAGCCCTGGCCCGACTCCATTTACCCTTGTTGTCCATGGTGCCCTCCGGACTGTGGAGGCCAAGGGTCCCGACGCCGCACGCGCTGCCTCGAGCTGGTCCAGCGAGCGAGCCGGCTGCGGGTCGGACGCTGACAGCGCGCGGCGCACCTCCGCGCCTCATTTCCGGCGCGCCGGAGGCGGGGCCCTGGGTACGGCGCGCGGCCCGGGCCAAACCGCGTGACGTCACTCGGCGGCGCCGGAAGTTGCGACTCGCAGGCGTTGGGACTCGGCTAACAGCCGTTTCTTCTGCGCTGAGGTGCCGGGGCGACCATGGTGTCCGATGGTAAGGGCCTGGGGGGCTCGCTGGGGGGCTCGGTCCAGATGGTGTCTCCTTGGGGCTGGGTGGGACCTGTTAAGGAGAGACCGGAGTGTGCATTCACTGGGTAACTCCGTCCTGAGTGCCGGGCGTTTTCGGCTCGGGAGAAGGCGGCAGAGAACCTGACAGGCAGGGGCCAGCCTAGCGGTTGAGACAGGCAGGTGGCCAGTCGGTTAAAGTGATTTCGAAGACAGTATCCCAGGACTGTGCGGTGAGTAGGTTCGGGCGTCCTGGACAGGCTTGAATGGCAGCTTCCTGGGAGGATTGGGAGTTGTGGGCGGGGCGTGATGGAGAATTCATACTATCTCGCCCTAAGATCGGCGATAAAATGTCATTTTTAAAGCAGCCCGCAGCCTGATGGGGAGGACCGGGAGGAGAGATCGGTCAGCGTCGGCGGAGGCGAGCAGTGGGGGCCCCGGCCCGGCCCTGCCTGCGGGCCCTGTGGCTTAGGGCAGGTTCTCTCGTCTGACCCGAGACGTGGCTTGGTGCACCGCCGAGACAGACGGACGCCGTCGGCCCGGCTGTGAGATGCCGCCGCGGCCCAGCGGCTGTGACGGGTTGGGAAAAAGAGAAGGGAGGCGTCCATGCTCGCCGCGGGTGTCGCCGTAGGTGGGATTGTGGGATGGCCGGTGCCGGGACGTGGTGCAGAGCGGGCCGGCGTTCCCACCCCCTCCGATGGGGCGCCGCGGCTTCCTGCCGGAGGAAAGAACTGGGTTGCAGCCTGGAGGAGTCCGGAGGGTTCAGACGGACAAAGACGGCGTGGGGGCTGTCCTGAGAGGAGACAGGCCAGCAGGAAGGAAGCTGCGGGGGCGCGGAGTGCGGGCCGCCTGTGCCCCTGCGCGAGCGTCCTGGGCTCCCCGCGCCGGGGTGCGCTGGGCGCCCGGAAGCGCCAGCCCCTCGCGCGTGGGTCCCTGTGGAGGGCAGCCCGATGCTGTTCTCACCGCAGAGGCCTTAGGCGCGTGGAGGATGCTTTTCCCTTTTTGGCTTTTGCCTCCTAAAAATTGGCCACTTGCTGCTAGCTAACCGGAGGGACCTGGGCCCAGACTCACTCCTGCGCCTCCCTGAGTCGTCTGAGCCTGGAGTTCTGTGCGCAGGGGTTCTCGCCGCTGGCCCCTCGCCGCCTTCTGTGACTGGCAGGTGTCTGCGGGTTCACTCGGTAGATGTGCACCAGGCAGGGTGGTGGGATCCGGGGATGAGCTGTGAGCAAAACACAAGACCCCCGCCCTCACGGGGCTCACGCTCCAGTGCCTGGAGGACGGCCGCCGAGTGCGTCCTCAAAGACCGGGCCTCCTGCCAGTCACTGGACGTTGGGATGACAGGCACCTCAAGGCTGTGATGCTGCCTGCTCCGGGTTGAAGTTTTACGCATTTAGAGTGTGAGGTCTGACGCACTTCCATGACGCTGGTGTCTTTCATTTTACCTCTGTTGACAGAAGATGAACTGAATCTCCTGGTCATCATAGTGGATACCAACCCGATATGGTGGGGAAAGCAGGCGCTGAAGGAGTCTCAGGTGAGAGCCGGAGGGCCTCGGGCAGCTCTGCCCTAGCTAACACGCGTGTGAACACTCCACTCTGCCCTAGCTAACACGCGTGTGTCCACACCGCTCTGCCCTAGCTAACTCGCGTGTGAACACACCGCTCTGCCCTAGCTAACTCGCGTGTGTCCACACCGCTCTGCCCTAGCTAACTCGCGTGTGTCCACACGGCTCTGCCCTAGCTAACTCGCGTGTGTCCACACCGCTCTGCCCTAGCTAACTCGCGTGTACACCCTCTGCCCTAGCTAACTCGTGTGTCCACACCGCTCTGCCCTAGCTAACTCGCGTTTGTGTCCACACCGCTTCTGCCCTAGCTAACTCGTCGTGTGGTCACCACCGCCACTCTTCCCCCTAGCTAACTCGCGTGTGTCCACACCGCTCTGCCCTAGCTAACTCGCGTGTGTCCACACCGCTCTGCCCTAGCTAACTCGTGTGTGTCCACGCCACTCTGCCCTAGCTAACTCGTGTGTGTCCATGCCACTCTGCCTTAACGCATGTGTCCTTGCCGCTTCTGCCTTAGCGCGTGTGTGTCCATGCAGCATCGGGGTGCTGCTGTCCTGCAGTGAGCCGAGCTGGTGCCTGCGGTGCTGGCGGCCTGCAATGGAGCACAGCTTTAAGGCCTCACTGCTCCACATCCAACCCATCTCCCAGCTCATGCACTTGGGAAGGTGGTGGAGGATGGCCCAAATGGCTGCAGTGGCTAAGGCTGGGCCATGCTGAAGCCAAGAGGCTGGAACTCTGTGAGGGCCTCCTACGTGGGTGGCGGAGGGCCAAGCGCTCGGGCCATCTTCCCCTACCTTCCCAGGTACATTAGCAGGGAGCTGGGTGGAAAGTGGAACAGCTGGAACTCTAACCAGCTGCAGGGGGCAGCTTAGCCTACTGTGCCACTGTGCAGGCCCCTTGAACTTTCTTTGCATTCCTAGATACAAGTCCTTTATCGTATAAATGGTTTGTGAATTTTTCCTCTCAAAGTTTAGCTTTTCTTTTATACTTAAGAAAGTCACAGATCAATTTTGATGAGAGTCCACATTATTTTAAAAAAGAGAAAACCTGGACTGTGCTTTTGGTGCTAAATTTAAGAATTCTTCAAATAGCCGTAGATTGTAAAGATTTTTTTGCCAATGACTTATTTGAAAAGTTTGACATTTCAAGCTAGAATCAGTTTGAGTTAGTTTCTTAATGTGCTGAGATTTAGGTTGTGGTTTTGTTTTTTCTTTGTTGTTGTTGGAAAGATTATCCTTTTCCATTGAGTTACTTATGTACCCTTGTCAAAAAACAGTTGTGCATACCCCAGTGGGTTTTTGTCTAGGGCCTCTGCTCTGTTGATTTGTGTCTGTCCCTGCACCAACACTGCACAATCCTGACTAATGTACAATACCTATGTAGTACCTCTTTTTTTTTTTTTTTAAGACTTATTTATTTATTTGAAAGTCAATTTCAGAGAGGGAGGGAGAGACGAACAGAGAGATTGTCCATTTGTTGGCTCACTCCCCACATGGCCACAATGGCAGGAGCTGGGCCAGCCCAAAGCCAGGAGCTTCATCCGGGTCTCCCACTTGGGTGGCAGGGGTCCTGGGACTTGGGCCATCTTCTGCCGCTTTTCCTAGGCGCATTAGGAAGGAGCTGGATTGGAAGTGGAGCAGCCGGGGCTCGAACTGGTGTCCATATGGGATGCCGTTGCTGTAATTGGCGACTTAATGCACTACACCACAGTGCTAGCCCCGGTGTTGTACCTCTTGGAAGTCTGCTAGATTCTTGTCACTTTATTTTTCCTTTTCAAAATTTTAACTGTTCTACTTCTCTTGACTTTCCATATAAATTTTAGGTTAAGCTTGTCTATGTCTACAAAAAATGCTGCTAATTTTGTGTATGTGTGTGTGTGTGTTTAATATTAATTATTTGATGGGCCGGCATATGGCGCAGCAGGTAAGGCCACCGCCTGCCATGTCAGCATCCAGTATGAGCACTGGTTCATGTTCCGGCTGCTCCACTTCCGGTCCAGCTCCCTGCTGATGTGCCTGGGAAAGTGGTGGAAGATGGGCCCTTGCTGCCAGGGTGGGAGACTTGGAGGAAGTTCCTGGCTCCTGGCTTCAGCCTGGCCCAGTCCTAGCAGTTGTGCGATCTGGGAAGTGAACCAGCAGATGGAGGACCTCTTTCTGTCTCTCTGTCTCTCACCGTCTCTCTGTAACCTTGATTTTCAAATAAATAAATAAATCTTAAAAATAAAATTATTTGAAAGGCAGAATGACACAGGGAGACATTTTCCCTCTGCTTGTTCACTCCCCAAATGGCTGCAAAAGCTGGGACTGGGCAGGCTGAAGCCAGGAGCTGGGAGCTCCGTGTGGCCTTCCACACGGATGGCAGGGACCAGTACTGGGGCCATCGTGCACAGCAGGAGGAAGCTGCGTCAGAAGCAGAGCTCTGACCAACACTCCAACGTGGGTGTGGGCGTCCCAACCAGCTCCTTAACCCGCAACCCACTGAGCCACAGCGCCCGCTCCCAGAGTTGCCTCCTTTAAGAGGACATGCCTTGTTCTAGGATTATGAAAATACCCTGCACTGCTAGTAAATGTGAACAAATTAACACTTTTACAGATCTCCAATTTAATCACTGTGTATTAAATACTGCATATGTAGCAAAAGTTTGCTAGTTATTTTGTTAGAGAAGATGTGTCGTGTTTGTTTTCCCTAAGACGTTGCTTTTGTGCTGGTGTGGAATTGATTTCATGTTTAAAGGACGGTCAGAAAACTGCAGTTGTCCAGTATCTGCTTGTGGCTTTGCAGGGGGAGCTTGCGAGCGAAGTCTAGTGGTGAATGAGTGTGTGTGGTGTAAGTGGTCGTGATTGTTTTGAGACGGGACCTGGTAGTCTGGATACTGATTCATTCTCATGCCTTTGGTTTTTGGCAGTTTACTCTATCCAAATGCATCGATGCCGTGATGGTGCTGGGGAACTCCCACTTGTTCATGAATCGCTCCAACAAACTGGCCGTGGTCGCCAGTCACATCCAGGAGAGGTATGGCTGCTGCCGTGTCTGCCTGTCAGTGCTGGCTGGTGCATGCTCTTCTTCCTCTGGGTTGCACAAGAGTGTTTCCTGTGGAGGTGAAAGACAGCCACAGCTCAAGAGTCAGCACGTTTCCATCTGTGTGGACCCTGAAACCCTTCTTTCTTTATTTGGAGGCAAAGTTACAGAGAGAGAGAGAGAGAGAGATCTTCCATTGCTGGTTCAGCATCCGAATGGCCACAACAGCCAGGGCTGGGCCAGGCCGAAGCCAGCAAGTTTCATCCGGGTCTCCCACGTGGGTGCAGGGCCGCAGCACTTGGCCATCTGCTGCTGCCTTCCCAGGTGCATCGGGAGGGAGCTGGGTCGGAGCTGGAGCAGCCAGAGTGCGAATCGGCGCCCACGTGGGATGGCTGATCCGCTGCTCCTCACCAGCCCAGGTGTTTTTCTTAAAGGGATAGACAGTAGACTCATTGTTCGGATTTGGCGGGAGTGAATCTGTTTTGGTGTCGCCTGATGAGGTGAATGTGGGAATCGCCCTGGTGACCCTGCCCCGTTGTCACTGTGAAGCATGCTGTGGCGGCCCACGTGCTTGCCGATTTACCTGTTATTCATTTGTAAAAGATGAACTGTGTGGGGCCGGTGCCGTTGTGTAGAGAGCTGAGCCTCCACCCGCAGTGCTGGCATCCCGTGTGAGTGCGGTTTGAGCCCCGGCTGCTCCATTTCTGATCCAGCTCCCTGCTAATGTGCCTGGGACAGCTGTGGAAGATGGCCCAAGTGCTTGGGACCCTGCACCCGTGTGGGAGACCCAGAAGAAGCTCCTGGCTCCTGGCTTTGGCCTTGGCCTGGCCCAGGTCCAGCCGTTGCAGCCATTTGGGAAGTGAACCAGCAGGTGGAGGATATCTCTCCCTCTCTTTATCTCTGCCTTTCAAATAAATAAGTCTTAAAAAAATAAAAAGAAAGCAGTGTGTGTTAGCACATTGTGAATCCACGGTTGGTGCAGTCACTCCTTAGTACCTGTGGGGCATCAGTTCCAGGTCCCTCATCTCAGTGGCGTAGTATTTGCATAGAGCCAAGCACATCCTCCCATAGACGTTAACTCACCCCAGGTCACGTGTCACCCCAACCAGTGTGAGTGCCCTGTAATAGCTGTCCCGCCCTGTTCATGGAAGAGAGACAGCAGTGGTGTGTGTGTCCAGTCTGTGGATTAGCTGTCCCGCCCTGTTCATGGAAGAGAGACAGCAGTGGTGTGTGTGTCCAGTCTGTGGGTTAGCTGTCCCGCCCTGTTCATGGAAGAGAGACAGCAGTGGTGTGTGTGTCCATTCTGTGGATTAGCTGTCCCGCCCTGTTCATGGAAGAGAGACAGCAGTGGTGTGTGTGTCCAGTCTGTGGATTAGCTGTCCCGCCCTGTTCATAGAAGAGAGACAGCAGTGGTGTGTGTCCAGTCTGTGAATTAGCTGTCCCGCCCTGTTTGTAGAACAGTGACAGCAGTGTGTGCGTGTCCAGTACAGATGCAGATGTTGAACAAGAGCCACTCCTGATGCTTGATTGCATTGTGCATTGGAACGTGTGGGTCAGAGGCTGGCTGTGATTCCTGTTGCCCCTGCTGCATTTCATCTGACCGGCAGTGGCAGCGGGGCAGGAAGACCTGGTGTGAGTAGCGTTTCCTGCTGTGTTTCAGCCGATTCTTATATCCTGGGAAGAATGGCAGAGTTGGAGACTTCTTTGGAGACCCTGGCAACCCATCTTCTGAATTTAACCCCTCAGGAAGTAAAGACGGAAAATATGAACTGCTAACAGCAGCAAATGAAGTGATTGTGGAAGAGATTAGAGACCTCATGACAAAAAGTAACAGTTTTTTTATTATTCTTATCATCATCATTTCTACCACCAATACTATTTTGCAAATGGAGTTGATGTTGAGGACTTGTCCCTGAGGACTTGGTCCAGAGTCTCGAGGCTGTGATGCTGTCGTGTGCACACACCACTCCCACTCCCTCTCTGCTCTCGGCCGTTGTCACCCAGCCTCCCCGGGCCTTGCTCCACCTCTGCGCTGGGCGCTGCTGCACAGCCTGTGCCTCTCGGATGGCTTCCGGCTCCCGAGCACGGCCTCTGGCCCTGCTTCTGCCCTCGTTCTGGGACCTTCCTTTCTCACTCTCCGTTACTGACTTGTCCTTCGTCTTGTCCCTTAAAATGTGTTTTTTTTTTTTTTAATTCTGTACATTTTTTAAAAAATAATTTTCAATTATTTGAAAGGCAGAGTGATGGAGGGAGGGGGAAGAGAGAGAGGGAGAGAGAGAGATAGAGAGATTTTCCATCTGCTGGTTCACTCCTCAGATGGCCCTTACTGGCCAGGGCTGAGCCAGGCTGAAGCCAGGAGCCTGGAACTCCATTAGGTCTCCCATGTGGGTGCAGGGGCCCACACACTTGGGCATCTTCTGCTGCTTTCCCAGGCACATTAGCAGGGACCTGGATTCGAAGTGGAGCAGCTGGGACTTGAACTGGTGCTCCCATGTTGGATGTTGGAGTTGCAGGCAGTGGTTTAACCTGCTGCATGGCAACACTGGCCTATCTTGTGTATAATTTTCTGACTTTTTCCCTCTGTTTTCTCAACCACTTTTGCTTGTAATTATCATTTGTATAGGAATACTTCCTAGTCTTTGTCTCACCCTCTCTCTCTTTTAAAGATTTATTTATTTATTGAAGAAGCGCAGTGACAAGGAAAAAGAGAGAGGGAGATCTTCCAAACTCTGATTCACTCTCCAAATGCCTGCAACAGCCAGGGCTGGGCCAGGCCAAGCCAGTAGCCAGGAACTTTGTCCAGGCTTCCCACATGGGTGGCAGGGACGCAAGTGCTTGGGCCATCATCTGCTTCTTTCCCAGGCGCATTAGCAGGGAACTGGATTGGAATTGGGGCAGCCAGGATTTGAACCTGCACTCTGATATGGGATGCTGGCTTTGCCAGGGTAGTGTAACCTGCAGTGCCACAGTTGTGTTCCCTCGCCCCATCTCCTTAGTGCACTTTAGTCTCATTGTCTTCTGCCTCAGCGACACCACCATTTCTATTTGTATTTCTGACATGCTTTCCACCTAGTTCAAATTTGAAACTGTAAACTTTGACTCTTTTCTTCTTGCATTCGGCATCTAATCAGCTGTGAGAGCTCCCAAACCTGACCCTAATTGTCCTTTAGATGACTTTGACGTTTGGGGCTGGATGGTTCTTTGCTCTGCAGGCTCTTCTGTGCGTTGCGCATTACTTAGCAACATCCCTGGCCTCGACCTGGCAGACACTGCGATGCCGCAGATAGTGACAGCCCAGCGCCCTCCAGGTGGAGAGCCCTGTGACGGCCTCCTCCACCTGCCCTTCTGACTCCTGTCTCCCTACACGGACGCAAGGCACATTAACAGCTGGATCGGAAGTGGAGCAGCCGGGGCATGAACCTGGGCCCAAATGGGATGCCAGCGTCACAGGTGGCAGCTTCACCTGCCACGCCACAATGCCAGCCTCAGGCTAATATTTTAATGTAATCAAATCTGCATGGCAAAAATCGCCATTTTAGCCATTTTTCGGTACCCAGTGCAGTAGTGTCAAGCACATTGGTGTGACTATGCCTGCATCACCACCACCTTCCAGCATTGTCCGTCCTCCCAAACTGAAGCTTCGTGCCCAGTAAACAGTAGTTCTCTCTTTCCCCTACTTCTAGAAAAGATGCCAGGACATTTTAAATTGAAAAAAGGTCAAAAGTTGCTTATTTAAGCATTACTGAGTACAAATTGCTATGTATGTTTTTAAACCCAGGTTGAACATGTCATCATTTGATTACATTCATAAAAAATGCTTTGGTTTGAAAATGATTTTAGGTCAAGACAGTGTTTAAAAATTCCGTTTTTAATGTTTTTTGTTGTTGTTTTGTTTGTAGGTGACATAAAGGGTCAGCATACAGAAACTCTGCTGGCAGGATCCCTGGCCAAAGCCCTTTGCTGTATCCTTGGTGCTTAAATTCTTCAAGAGGTGTCTTATGTAATCAATGTATTGTTTAAAAAAAAAGTTGTTTATTTGATTTGAAAGGTAGAGCAACAGAGAGAGAGAGAGAGAGAGAGAGAGAGAGAGAGATCTTCCATCCACTGGTTCTCTCCCCAAATGGCCACAGTCGTCAGGGATGAGCCAGGCCACAGCCAGGAGCTTGGAACTCCATATGGGTCTCCCACATGAGTTGCAGGGGCCCAAGGACTTGGGTGCTTACGGTGCTGTCCCAGGTGCATTAGCAGGGAGCTGGACTGGAAGAGGAGCAGCTGGGACTGGAACCGGTGCTCTGGTACAGGATACTGGTGCTGCACGTGGTGGCTTAACCCACCGCCCCACGAGGCTGGCCCTGTGTGGTTAGCATTTTCAGGTTGGGACATTTTTTTAGAAATTGTGTGTCCATGTTAAATGGGAGTCATGGACATTCTAAAATGGGAGATAATGAAAAGTGTGTTTATCTTGCCTTTGAATTATTTTTAGTACAAGCCATAAATACTTGAAATAGAAGAGTAAGAAAATGATGAGTTTCTCCATTCATCCTTCTTCCTGTAACAGAATGAAAAAACAAAGAGAAAGATTTGCAAAATGTCTTTAAAAAAAGCTTCAGGATGCTTTCTTTTCTTTTTTGATAAACTGCTGCTTTTTTGATTTTCACCTTCCTTGAGCTGGGAGCTGTGTTTGATTTTAAAAGCCACTGACTGACTGTGAAGCTTCATAAATGAGTGGCCACTTTCCCACAGGCAGGGGATTAGCTCAGGGCAGCAGCACCTTTCTCAGCATTTTGATTTTATCTTTTTGTGAGATTTGCTCTAAGTTTTTATGTATTTGTCCCAGATTTTGATTCCAGTTGCCTGGTCAACTCTGTGTGGTTTTCAGATTTGTTTTGGGACACTTGACTGCCCCAGTGTCCTGGTCTAGGACTGGGTGGTGACAGTAGGACAAGCCAGAGTTGGAATTTTAGTCTGCGATGGAGCGTGCTGTGATGGGATGAGCGCGCACTCGTGTGTCTGACAGTGAACGCAGTCTCCTTTCTCAGCAGGGTGGTGCTGGCCTTCTCTAACTAGAACTCGAGGGGCTTTCCCCTGTTTAAATATTTATGAAATAAAACGGTATTTCTGTATTCCTTAATACGAGGAAATGTAGATATTCATAGAATGAACAAGGAGGTGAAAGGTAGGAGCCTGTGTTTTACTCCTGTGTGTTCGGGGCAGTGTTTCAACATTGGTTAGAAATATACGTGTCTAGTACTTTAAGTTGTTCAGTTAATAATGGTAAGTTATTCACTTAAACTGTAATTTGTTTTTCTCTCTTCATAGATAATCAGGAGATGAAATCGAGAATATTGGTAAGATTAAAAAAGTCAGTGCTCTACAACTGGATAGACAGTTACAGACAATTGGAAAGCATGATGGGAAAAAGAGCTTTTTTTAAAAGATTTATTTTATTTATTTGAAAGATAGCTAGACTAGCTTTACTAGTAAGTAGAAAATGTCAAATAATGGGGTTTTCAGCGTTTGCTTGTTGTTTAGCCTGATTGAAAACCCTGGTGGTCCCCAGAGTTGATGGTAGTATTGAGGACTGGTTGTTCTTGCACTGCCAATGGGAGGGTACCCTGGTTTGGGTTTTCTGCAGGGCAGTGGGTAACCTGGGTCAACACCCAGTGTGCATACCCTGTAGCAGTCAGTGATGATCTTTAGGAGGCAGTCTGGAAGCCATGCAAAGGCTGTGTGAGGCTGCCATCAGAGAAGGGTTCAAAGTAGAACTGGAAACTGCTTAAAAGTCCTCTGTAGATAACTGGTCCAGTCGTGGAAATCCATAAAGGTAGCCAGAAGCGTGCTGTGTGTTCTAATTCATAGGCATCAAAATGGTCCCCCCTGTATTTTGATCTGTAACAGCAGGTTGCAGGACACTAGGCAGAGTGCCAGCCCATTGCACCTGTGCGTGTGTGTCTGTCCATGCCCCCTGCAGTGCTCTGACGGTGCTCATCAAACTCTTCACAAGGGTTTCCTCTGGGTGCCGGGGTTAGAGGAAACGTTGCCTTTGCACTTTAGGTTTTTAATCATGGTAAGTAGGCAGACAGGTTGAAAACAACATTGGTGTGGCTTGCAGCTCGCTGTGGGGTTTGCGCGCGAGAGCAGCATGTGCTTGTGAGGTGTTGATGTGGCTGTGCTCGTAGGTGATTAAGGCCGCGGAAGACAGCGCGCTGCAGTATATGAACTTCATGAATGTCATCTTCGCAGCACAGAAGCAGGTGCGTGAGAGCCTTCTGCTGCATGTCTGTCATGACGAAGGCGTCAGTATCATTTCCCGATTGATACTGGGAGAGGCCTGTGACTAACTAGTCTTACTATTCTGCCTCTTCGTCTTTCTACTTCGGCCCTGAGACCCTTGAGAATCCAGTTGGCCCCAGAACAGTGCCTGCTGAGCACAGCTGGCACAGTTTCATGGTATTCAGTGCCCCGTCTGCCGCAGGACCCCTGGTTTGATGGTTTGCTGCATAAACCTTGCCTCAGTTTCTTGCTACTAAAGGTGTGTAAAGGTGCGATATTTTTGGTCCACAAGTGACTAAAGTATTCTTATGAATTATCATGCATACATTTTCTTTTTTGATATGTTTTAAAAAGAACAAAAAGTGCTTCTGTAGTCACACACAACACCCCCGATCTTGGAGGGGCAGCCAGATGTTTTGAAAAGTGTTGGTTTTGGGGACAAGGGAGTGGGTGACAGCCTTACCACCCACTGGCTGTGACCACAGCCCGGCCACACCGGGGTGCTTTAGCTCCCAGATGCAGATGAAGTATCTGCCTGCAGTCACACACACTAAGTGACCTGTTCTAAGAGCAGTCTGGCACAGGGCTGGTGTCATGGCGTACCGGGTTAAGCTGTGCCAGCATCCCATATGGGCGCCTCTTCAAATCCCAGCTGCTCCACTTCCAGTCCAGCTCCCTGCTAATTTACCTGGGAAAGCAGTGGAACATGGCCCAAGTGATTGGACCTCTGCACCCATGTGGAAGACCTGGAAGAAGCTCCTGGTTCCTGGCTTTGGCCTGGCCCAGCCCTAGCCATTGAGGCCATTTTTGGGAATAAGCCATAAGATGGAAGATCTCTCTCTGTCTCTTCCTCACTCCCTCTCTCTCTCTCTCTGACTCTGCATTTCAGATAAATAAATAAATCTTAAACAAACAAACAAAAAAATTAAGGGGTTGGTGCTGTGGTGCAGCAGGTTAAAGCCCTGGCCTGTAGCTCCCACATCTCATATGGGCACCATTTTGGGTTCCAGCTGCTCCACTTTCGATCCAGCTCTCTGCTGATGGCCTGGAAAAGCAGTAGAGGATGGTCCGGGTCCTTGGGCCCCTGTACCCATGTGGGAGACCCGAAAGGAGCTCCTGGCTCCTGGCTTCAGCCATTGCCGCCATTTGGGGAGTGGACCAGATGATGGAAGATGTCTCTCTCTCTCTGTTTCTACCTCTCTCTGTGACTCTGTCTTTCAAATAAAATAAAACTTAAAGAAGATTTAAAACTTCATACTTAAAAAAACACCAAAGAATAGTCACACATGTAGGCTCAAAGTAATTATTACTGGGGTTGTTCCTTTAATATTTTCAAAATATTCCTTTCAGAATATTTTGATTGATGCCTGCGTTTTAGACACCGATTCAGGACTCCTCCAACAGGTATGTTTTAAGAGAATGCTTGTTATTTGTAGTTAGGAAAATCAATTTTTATGTTGAGCAAATATTAATATAGATTGGATATATTGAGTTAAATAAAATATGTCATTAACTAATTTCACCTTTTTGATTCACCTTTTTAAATGTGGCTACTAGAAATTATAAATTACACACTCAATATGACTTGCATTGTGTTTCTGTTCTAGTATATGTGGTTTTTAATCACAAGTTTGGAATTGAATTTTACTTTAGCCAGAAAGAAAAAAAACCCAAAATAGGGCTGTAGAGATTATCAGAGTCTCTTGATAAATGTTTTTTGGCCTTCAGTAATATTATTTCCTAAAAGACCAGTTAAAAGCAAAAAACTAGAAAACCCATTGAAGGTTCCTGTGGGGGTGGGGGAAGGGAGAGGCAAAGGTCTGGCGTCGTCCTGTTTCTATGCCTGATGGTAGGAACGCGGTGTTCACTGTGCCGCTTAAACCTACTCACCCTTCCTGTACCTGCACTGGCACATACATTTCAGGGTGAGAAATCAGAGGGCTTGAGTGTGCTTCTTGGTCGCACATTTCAGCCTACGTAGTGTTCGTTAGCGCCCGTCTGTCTGTATTTTTGGTACCTGCTTTCCACTCTCCCCATTCCCTCCACTCCCCCCGAGCGGTCACTGTTCTATCCTCTAGCCTGGGGTCGCGCTCCATGGCTTAACCCCCTGAGTGAAGCATGCAGTTCCCAGCTTTCTGTGCCTGGTGTTTTCACTGGATGTAACGTCCTCCTTGGATGTTTGCACGTCCCAGGAAGTGGCCTGAGGTTCTGGCCCTCATGCCCTCCGGGAACACGTCCTCTCTGTGGGCTGGAGAAGTTGGTGGAGAGGCTCCCCTCCCCGGGAAGCTGGGTGTGTGCTGGTGTGCAGGGCCGTTTCTGTGTCTTGCAGGCTTGTGACATCACTGGGGGACTATACCTGAAGGTGCCTCAGATGCCGTCCCTCCTGCAGTACCTGCTGGTGAGGAAGCAGCAGCGAGCCGGTCCCCGAGCAGAGTCCCTGGTGGGGCAGCCGTGGGAACAACCCCGCTGATACCTCCAAGATTAGCACCTGGCGGGAAGGAAAAGCTGGGTGGCCTTGGAGATTCAGAGCTGCGGCGCGAGGGGGAAGGTAGTCTGGGCGCTCTGCTGTGTGCACAGTGTCCTGTGCGTGCTGCGCCCCGTGCCCCTACGGGTAGGAGCTCCGTACGCGCTTCTCAGTAGACGCCAAGGAAACCCCGAGTCAGCATTTCCTTAGTGTTTGTGGTCATCTATGGTCTGACTTCATTTGCTTTTTCCCATGTTTTAAATAAAAGTTCCTTGCCTTTCTCCCTTACAGTGGGTTTTTCTTCCCGATCAAGATCAGAGATCGCAGTTAATCCTGCCACCCCCAGTTCACGTGGACTACAGGGCTGCTTGCTTCTGTCATCGAAACCTCATTGAAATCGGCTACGTCTGTTCTGTGTGTCTGTCAAGTAAGTTCCTGTACCTACTTGTCCCTGTTGGGGTTGGGGGCAGAAAGTCTCTCAGACTCTGATTTAACCGTCTGCTCTTGGCTTTGATTTGCAGTATTCTGCAGCTTCAGCCCTATCTGCACCACGTGCGAGTGAGTGTCTTTGAAGCGGTGTGGGTGGCTCACCCTTCCGCGACTTAGAGCATTAACTCGTGGTTTCCCCTCCGTGTCATTGCAGGACAGCCTTTAAGATCTCTCTGCCTCCCATGCTGAAGGCCAAGAAGAAGAAACTGAAGGTGTCTGCGTGACAACGTTCTCCCGTCTTCAGCAGTCAGAGACGTTGGCAGAGCCTTTGCTGGGGAGACTCTGATAAAAACACAGCTGGGTCATCCTTAACGTCGGAGTTTCTTACAGGGAGGATTTGCAGTGGCCCTCGCAGCCTGTGCTTCCGGGGACTCGTTTACTGGAGGGAATTACTCTGCAGTCCATCCCCAGCTCTGCTCACAAGGGTGGAGGAAAGCTCAACTGGTGACATGTTTTAATGGCTGGTCATTTGTGACAGCCCATTCCGACGGGGGCTTCAGGACCCGTGACCCACACGGAAGGCCTTCCTGGGACATGGACAGTGGGTGAAGTCTGAACACAGTTTTGGGACAAGGGGCCATTGCTAGAGTGACTGCATCCATCAGGATAGGACGTCTCTCTCTGGAGACAGCAGTTAGCTTCCGCAGGTGTCCTGGCTGAGGTTCAGGGTAGATCCAGCAGACGTTTATCCGGAGTCTGGTGTCCGTGGTCCAAGCAGGCCTGCAGCCCGTCACGGAATAAGCAGAAACTCTGATTTTGGGTGGCAAAGGGGAACAGGCATGGAGGCCTGGTAGCAAATTTTCCTTCAAAAACAGTTGTGTGCAGAGTTTGTTCATAAAAGCTGACGCGTGGGTTCTGAGGGAGTTTGTTGGGAAACTAGTGTGTCCCCAGGTGGAATTCTGTCCTCTGTAGTGGAGAAACCACACAGTCCTGTTGGAGAATGCTCTCTAGAAGCCTTTACCTGAATACTGAAGACTTTTATAAGTTAAATGTTCCTTGTAATTTCAACAATAAAAATTTATTTTACTACTTAATAATTTTCCCTGGATTTATTAGAAGTTCTTTTAAGTTCCAATGTAGTTTAGGAAGGATTTTAAGGAGTAGTGGATGCTTTTGGTTTGTTATGAGAAGTATGATGACAAAAACCCATTTGTTTACAAAACTTTTATATGTAAATAAGATTTAAGTTTTCTCTTTATACCACTTTAGTAACTGGGGTTTGGTAAGATATTTTGAAGTAGATTCTGTATTCTAGAGTTGCAGTCTTGTTAACAAATACAAGAATTTTGGTGATCATTTTGCAAGTGTTTGTTAATCCTTGAGCTAAAGAGTCCATCTTTAAAAATAATTTATAATATTTCATACACTAAGAGAATGAGAATCACTGTTAGACGTCTAGGAAATAAATCATTGCATGTCTAACAGGTGAATAATTTCAACAAACCAGTAAGGCTTTGGTTGTTTTTCATTTAAAATGTTTTAATATACTTGCTTAATTTTTTTTTTTAAGACTGACTTATTTGAAAGGCAGAGTTTCAGAGAGAGAGGGAGAGACAGAGAAAGAGATCTTCCATGCGCTGGTTCGCTTCCCAGATGAAGAGTTCCATCCAGGTTTCCCACGCAGGTGCAGGCGCCCAAAGACTTGGGCCTTCTTCCATTGCTTTCCCGGGCGCATTAGCAGGAAGTTGGGTTGAAGGTGAAGCAGCCGGGACTCGAACTGGGATGCCAGCATTGCAGCGGAGGCCCAACCCCTGCACCACAATCTGGCTCCGTTTTTTTGTTTTGTTTTTGTTTTTAACACGATAAACTTAAAAAATAATTTTCTTTATTTGAGAGACAGAGCTCTCACCCACTAGTTTACTTCCCAAACGCCCGTGATAGCTGGGGCTGGGAACTCAATGCGGATCTCCCACACTGGTGCAGGAACCCGACTACCTGAGCTTTCACCGCCGCCTGCCAGGGACCGCAGTAACCAGAAGCCGGAGCCAGGAGTCCAACGCAGGCCTCTGGTGTGGGATGCAGGTGCCTGAACACATGTCTTCACTGCTAGGCTCAGCTCCTGCCCCCAAGCTTTGTTTTTAACTGTTGTGTTTATGAAGTATTTTATATAATAATTTAAGTTTTCGTATTTGGTTGAATTATTTCCTCTTACTCATTGTTTATCTCATGCCCATTCAACTCTTTTTAAAATATGCACTTTTCTTTTTTCCTTTTTTAAAGATTTGTTTATTTTGAAGGCAGAGTTACAGAGAGACAGGGAGAGACAGAAAGTGAGCAAGTGAACATCCATCTGCTGTTTTACTCCCCAAAAGGCTGTAATGGCTGGGACTGGACTGAGCTGAAGCCAGGAGCCAGGAGCTTCATCTGGGATCTGGGTCTCCCACGTGGGTGCAGGGGCCAGAGTATGTGGGCCGTGTGCCACTGCTTTCGCAGGAACATTACTCGGGAACTGGATCAGAAGTGGAGTAGCCAGGACTTGACTCCGCGCCCTTATGGAATGCTGGTGTTGCAAGCAGCAGCTTTACCTGCTATGCGTGTTTTTTTTGGACAGGCAGAGTTAGACAGTGAGAGACAGAGAGAAAGGTCTTTCTTTTTTCCGTTGGCTCACCCCCCAAGTGGTCGCTACGGCCGGCACGTTGCAGGCGGCGCGCTGCACTGATCTGAAGGCAGGAGCCAGGTGCTTCTCCTGGTCTCCCATGCAGGTGCAGGGCCCAAGCACTTGGGCCATCCTCCACTGCCTTCCCGGGCCACAGCAGAGAGCTGGACTGGAAGAGGAGTAACCAGGACAGAACCGGCATCCAACCGAGACTAGAACCCGGGGTGCCGGTGCTGCAGGCAGAGGATTAGCCTAGCGAGCTGCAGCGCCGACCTTTTTTTTTTTTTTTTTTTTTTTTTAGATCTATTTGTTTGAAAGGCAGAGTTACAGAGAGGCAGAGAGAGAGGTCTTCCATCCGATGGTTCACTCCCCAGATGGCTGCAACGGCCAGAACTGTGTCGATCCGGAGCCAGGAGCTGCCTCCCCGTCTCCCATGTAGGAGCAGGGGCCCAAGGACTTAAGCCATCTTCTGCTTTCCCAGGCCATAGCAGGGAGCTGGATTGGAAGTGGAGCAGCCAGGACTCAAACTGGCGCCCATGTGGGATGCTAGCAGTTTACCCACTATGCCACAGCACCAGCCCCACACCTCTGTTTTATAATAGAATTGAAACTCTCCCCTCCCAGATTTTCTTCCATTTGCTCTTATTGTTTTTGTCTTTTTAACTTATTTGAATGTCAGAGAGAGAGAGAGAGAGAGAGAGAGATGCTCCCATCTTGGTTCATGCATGCATTCTGCCTTGCTGGTCAGCAGGCCGCGCCACTCCACAGCCCTGGATTACCAGGTCCAAACCCGGTCTCCTGCTAGGCTGGACTTCTGGTTCCCATGAGGATAAATGGACCCGACTGTGTCCAGCTGTCACAAACTGTCCTGCTCAAACGCAGTGACTTATGGGAGCCTCTCTGTGAAATGTGTGGGAGGAGGGATACAGGCCGGGCTTACTCAGGAAGGCTTCCCTTCTCAAACTTTACAAGATTGAGTTTGGCCACGTCAACCTAATCTGCAGATTCACTCTCCTGAAGTGCCCACTGGAGCCCCAGCTACCCGGTTCCTATCCAGCTCCCTGCTGATGCGCCCGGGAAGGCAGCAGAGGATGCCCAAGTCCTTGGGTCCCTGCACCCACGTGGGAGGCCTGGGTGGAGCTCCTGGCTTTGAGCTGGCCCAGCCCTGGCTGTTACAGCTATTTGGGGAAATGAACCAATGAATGGAAGATCTGTCTCCCTCTCTTTCTGTTGTTCTTTCAAATGAATAGCCTCCTTAGCCGGTGCCGCGGCTCACTAGGCTAATCCTCCGCCTTGCAGCGCCGGCACACCGGGTTCTAGTCCCGGTCGGGGCGCCGGATTCTGTCCTGGTTGCCCCTCTTCCAGGCCAGCTCTCTGCTGTGGCCAGGGAGTGCAGTGGAGGATGGCCCCGGTGCTTGGGCCCTGCACCCATGGGAGACCAGGAAAAGCACCTGGATCCTGGCTCCTGCCATTGGATCAGCGCGGTGCGCCAGCCACATCGCGCTGGCCGCGGCGGCCATTGGAGGGTGAACCAACGGCAAAGGAAGACCTTTCTCTCTGTCTCTCTCTCTCACTGTCCACTCTGCCTGTCAAAACAAAACAAAACAAAACAAAACAAAAAAAATAAACAACAATAAAATGAATAGCCTTAAAAATGGGTGCAGTGGCTTGGGTCACTGCTTGGTTGCCCCCATCCCACACTGGATAGCTGGTTTGCCGATACTGCGCTTTCAGTCCAGCTCCCCTGGGAGACACCAGGTGATGGCTCAGGTGCTTAGGTCCATGCACACCACGTGGGAAATCCGGAGGAAGCCCTGGCTCCCGGCTTCCACCTGGCGCAGCCCTGGCTGTTGCAAGGCCTTTGACAAACAAGGTGTCAGCCTTTCGGAGCCCTTTCAGGAGGCTGGGTTTCTATCAGCACTGTGGGGGCCGGCGCCGTGGCGGTGCTGATGCCATGGGGCGCTGGCCTGAGCCCCGGCTGCTCCCCCTCCCCTTTCCATCCAGTACCCTGCTAACGGCCTGGGAAAGCAGTGGGGGACGGCCCAGGCACTTGGGCCCTGCACCTGCGCGGCCGCTGCGGCCCTTTGGGGAGTGAACCAGTGGACAGAAGACTCTCTCTGTAACTGCGTCTAAAATATATCTCTTTTTATAAAAAAGAAAACACTATTTGGCGTTCACTGTTGGCCACGGTGCTAAGCACCACGTGCGGGACTTAAGAAAATTCACGGGGACTGGAACGACCTCTGCGGCTTCCCGGGCACCAAACCGCTCCTTACGTCAGACATCGGCCTGACCCCATGAGCCTTCACCTCATTTAATCTGAAGCCTCGAGAGGTAGCGCGCCCTGGTGGGCGGGGCCGGGACGTCCAGCCCGGCTCAGGGGCGGGCTGTTTCTCCGTCGGCCCAATCACGGGGCGCTGCTTCTGCCAGCCGGAAGTCGATTGGCGGTTGCCATAGCTCCAGGCGTGCGCTTGACAAGATGGCGGCGCCCGCGCGGCGGCGGCGGCAGGGACTTCGCCGCCGGGTTCTTCCCTGCTTGTGAGGCGCGCGCGGTTCGAGCGTCGCGGCCCATGAAGCCCAAGGCATGGGCTTTCCGCCGCCGTCCCCTCTCCTCCTGGGGCTCCTTGTTCTGCAGGGAGCACTGAGGCCGCTGCGGGGGGACCTGGGTGTGTGCCGCGGCGCGGAGGCCGAGGAGGCCGGGCTGACGGGCCGGGGCAGGGATGCCGCGGGTCCCGGGGGTCTGGGCGCCGTGGCCAGTGACCCTTGGCCGTCCCTTTCCTTCCCCTCCAGTTTTCGTCCCGTCTTTCATCCGAATGTCCGGTCCTGCGGTCAGCGCGACCCTGGTGGGAGGCACCGAGGATGTGACCGTGACCCTGGCCGCGCTGCAGGCCGAGGCGGGTAAAGAGGCCGAGGGCCCCGGCTCTGCCCACGCGCGGGGAGGAAGCGCGGGACCCGGTGCTGCCGGCGCCCCGCAGGCGGGCTTCACGCTGGAAGCGGCAGTGGCGGAGCCCTCCTCGGGCCGTCCGCGCGCGCTGCTACCGAGGTCCACGCAGGGGTCCCGCGGCGGGGACTGCTGGCCGCTGGCTTGAGCGTGGCCCTCTGCCCTTCTCTCCCCCAGGAGTGCTGCCGGGCCCGGCCTGCGGATTGCCGCCCAGCAACGAGACGGCCGCCTGGAGCCTGGCCACGACCCCGGCTGTGGTGAGGGCGCTCTGGCCGCGCAGGCCGAACCTTGGGGAAACTGGAAGGGCACCCGTCCAGCCCGGGGCTGGGGCACCCGGCCGTGCCCTGCGTCAGGTTGTTTGTCACAGCCGGAGGCCTGCATCTTCCCGGGAGATTCTCAGATGGGTCTGGTGCTGTAGAACGCTCTCGAGCCACCGATGGTGTCCAGCGCGGAGCCGTGTGTCCTCTCCTGGGCGCCAGGCCTCCACCCTGGGGACGAAAGGAGGGGACAGCCCCGCTGCACTTGGGCCCAAGGAAGAACATCCCCGGGTGCGGGGGGCGCGGGGGACAGCCCCCGAGGATGATGGGGAAACCAGGAGATGCTAGCGGAATTAGACTGTGGGCAGCGTTTGTGTCAGACTGGGCAGCACCAGAGGGTCAGGGGAGGCGTGGGAGGGAGTTCCGTTGTCCTAGGCTGCTTCCCTGCTGTTTTCCCAGAGGCGCCCCTACAGGTGCTGGGGTCCCCTGGCTCTGAAGGCACAGCGGTCTGTCTCTTCCAGAACTCGCTGGAGGTGACGGTCAGATGGAAGGGAGGCCCGTGTTCCTCCAGCGAGACAGAACCCGTTCCCGAGTCCCCGTGCCTGGTGCAGACCCTCCTGGTGTCGGCGGCTCACAACGCCACCTGCTTAGCACATCTGCTCATCCAGGTGGAGATCTACGCCAACTCTTCCCTGACGCCACACGCTTCAGGCAAGGATCCTGTACTCTGTTGTTGTGGATGTCCTCGTGTCTTCTCATTGTTGAGGTTTTCACTGTGGATTGCTTAGTTAAGGTTTGTTTTATCTGGTTCCACTGCTAGCATCTTTGTAAGCTGTCTTAAATCCTTTTTGGGAGTAGGTGAAATTTGTTTCCATGTGTTGAACCCATGGCTTTTTTTTTTTTTAATTAAGGTTTTTTTTTTTTAATTTATTTATTTGAAATTACAGAGAGAGGTAGAGATAGAGAGAAAGGTCTTCCATCTGCTGGTTCACTCCCCAGATGGCTGCAACGGCTGGAGCTGCGCTGATCCAAAGGAAGGAGCCAGGAGCTTCTTCCGGGTCTCCCACACGGGTGCAGGGGCCCAAGGACTTGGACCATCTTCCACTGCTTTCCCAGGCCATAGCAGAGAGCTGGATCTGAAGAGGAGCAGCTGGGACTTGAACTGGAGCCCATATGGGATGCCGGTGCTTCAGGCCAGGGCATTAATCTGCTGTGCCACAGCACTGGCCCCAAGGTTGCTTTTTTTTTTTTTTAAAAGAAAATATTATTTGTTTGAAAGGCACAAATAGAAGTAGAGTGAGAGAAAGAGAGATGGTCCACCTGCTAGTTCAATCCCAAATGGCCACAGCAGCCAGGGCTTGGCCAGCATGAAGCTAGGAGCCAGGAGCCTCTTCTGGGTCTCCTATGCAGGTGCAGGGGCCCAAGCACTTTGCCATCTTCTGCTGCTCTCCCAGGCTGCGTTAGCAGGGAGCTGGATGGGAAGTGTAGCAGCTGAGATTCAAACCTGTGTCCATGTGGTCTGCAAGCAGTGTAGGCGGAGGCCAAACGCCAGCCCCCTAGCTCTGTTTAAAGAAAAAAAAATAAAAAATGAAGATTCCTGAGGTTATAGAAAAACACTAGGTTTTCAGTGAAAACTTTTGACCTACAATTCCCCTTCTTTGAGTAAGTCTGCTGATTAGGCTTAGAGAAACATGTATTCCTTCCCTAAAAAAAAAACAAGCAAGCAAACCCACGATACCACACTAACGTGATTCCTGAGTTTGTAGTTTTTGGAGATTTTGTAGCTCCGAGATTGTTCATTTGAGCACAGGTGGGGTCACCTCATTCATTTCACAGCCGCATGGCAGCCTACATGTGTGTGTGTGTGTGTGTCCCGTTGCTTAGCTAACCAGTCTCTTACTGTTGGCTGGGCTCTGAGCTCCTTTCTGGCTTTGGTGCTGGGACTCGTGTATGCACCTCTGGACGTGAGAACATGTTGTCCATCGGCCTCCCTCTCAGATAACTGCTAAGGGCAAAGGCGCTTCCATCCAAGGGGACCGTGTTGAGGGGCCTGCTCTCTGCCCTGCGGCAGACTCCAGCATCCGTCAAGGGAAGAATCCCTAGGTGGCATCCCTCGTCCCATCCCCCATGGCCTCCTGCTGCTTGAGGAGGGCTAGGAGGAGCCAGGCCAGTGCCACTCAGCTGCCGGCGGTGCCCTCGGCACACTGCCTGGGGAGAAAGGCAGGTGCAGGGAGCCACAGACAGCCTGAAGTCTTCTGTCAGAGAGGAGGCAGAAATCAAAGCACCTCTCTGTGGGTCTGAGTAAGTTCTGGAGTGGGATCTGGGAAGCTGATAACCAGCATACCCCAGCCAGGCCGGGGGTGACGTGAGGGCAGAGAAGCGCTGAGTGAGAGTGAGGACTTTGCTTTCTAAATATCATCTTAAGGTGTTTTTTTTTTTTTTTTTTTTTTTTTTTTTTTTTTTTTTGAGGGTGGTGCTGTAAGAAAAATGCTAGATTTATTTTTTCCTGAAAACCATTTTATTTAGAAACTGGGCAATGGTGAGGGGTTCTGGCATGTGAAGAGTACCTGGAGATGGACGCTCGGCTCAGATCTGTTGCAAGGCACGTGAGCAGTGAGAGCAGGTGTCGGGGAACGATGCCGTAATGATGCTCCTCCCCCAAAGGGAACCTCTTTAATGTTCACCCAGAGTCTTCTGTCTACCCTGCTGACTCCCACCTCACCTGTGTGACTCTTAAACAGGCTGTTGGAAATGAGAGGGGGTGGCACCAGCATTTTTCAGCACCCACTGTGTGCAAGACCGTTTGCACGCCTTGTCTTGTTTAATTCCTGCGCTGGGCAGGGGAATTCAAGGGGGAGCATTAGGCTAAGGAAGGGTCTGTAACTTGCCCAGGGTTGACCAGAGTGAACATTCTGGAATTCAAAACGTTCCACCTCCAAAGCCTGAACTTGCCCAGCTGTGTTCTTGTCTGTCTTACAGAAAAGGCAATCTCTGGTTTTCCTTTTATTTTTTTAAAGAGATTTATTTATTTTCAAGATTTATTTTATTTATTTGAATGACAGAGTTACAGAGAGAGGTAGAGCCAGAGAGCAGGCGAGGTCTTGTATCCGCTGGTTCACTCCCCAGATGACCACACAGCCAGAGCTGAGCTGAGCTGAAGCCAGGAGCCTCTTCCAGGTCTCCCACTTGGGTGCAGAGGTCCTTTCTGCTGCCTTCCCAGGGACTCGAACTGGCGCCCGTATAGGATGCTGGTGCTGCAGGTCGGGGCCTTAACCTGCTGCATCAGAGCACTGGCCCCAAGATTTATTTATTTATTTGAAAGTCAGAGTCACAGACAGAGAGGGAGAGAGATATCGTCCATCTGCTGGTTCACTCCCCAGAAGACCACAATGGCCGGAGCTGGGCCATGTTGAAGCTGGGAGCAAGGAGTTTCATCTGGGTCTCCCACCTGGGTGCAGGGGCCCAAGACTTGGGCCATTGTCTGCTGCTTTCCCAGGCACATTAACAGGGAGCTGGATGGGAAGTGGAGCAGCTGGGTTCTTAACTGGTGCCCGCACGGGTGCTGGTGTTGCAGGCCGAGGCGTAACCTGCTGTGCCACAGTGCCGATCCCTCTTCGTGGCTTCTTACCTGCGCCATCTCCCTTGGATGCTGTGGGCTTGTATTTTTCTCTGCTCCAGGTGCCCTCCTGGGTTCCCAAGAGGAATCCGTTATGGTGTCTACTCCTTTCCGGTCACGTGATCTATTTACCTGTCTTTCCTCCCTGAGAGTGAGGGAAGAGCAAGATGGAGGTGTCGAGGACAGGCAGAGTGGGGCCAGGGGTTTCTGCAGAAAAGGGATATGGCGTACCTTGTATTTTTTTTTTTTTTTTTTTTTTTGACAGAATGGACAGAGAGAGAGACAGAGAGAAAGGTCTTCCTTTGCCGTTGGTTCACCCTCCAGTGGCCGCTGTGGCCGGCGCACCGCGCTGATCCGAAGGCAGGAGCCAGGTGCTTCTCCTGGTCTCCCACGGGGTGCAGGGCCCAAGTACCTGGGCCATCTTCCACTGCACTCCCTGGCCACAGCAGAGAGCTGGCCTGGAAGAGGGGCAACCGGGACAGAATCCGGTGCCCAGACTGGGACTAGAACCCGGTGTGCTGGCGCCGCAAGGCGGAGGATTAGCCTAGTGAGCCGCGGCGCCGGCGCGTACCTTGTATGTTTAGAAAGACCTTTGTGACTCTCAGTTCAGAGAGAGGAGACCCCAAGGGGGTTGATGCTTCAGACTGGCTGGAATAGTTCATTTATTGCAGGTAAAATCCCCTGAAGTCCTCCCTTGACTTAATTTCCCTCTTCCTTGCAGCAGAATCTGCTGTGAAGATGTGCGTTTATGATATGAGAGGGACTTGGCACTGGGGATGTAGTATAACGACGTAGGAGCTTGTGGCCAGGTGGATTCCGGATAAGCTAAAATGTCGCCAAGGCTTCGGTTCGGTCAGCTAAAAAGAGGTCATGAGTTTGTGGCCGGCGCCGCAGCTCACTAGGCTAATCCTCCGCCTGCGGCACCGGCACCCCGGGTTCTAGTCCCAGTCTGGGCACCGGATTCTGTCCCGGTTGCCCCTCTTCCAGGCCAGCTCTCTGCTGTGGCCAGGGAGTGCAGTGGAGGATGGCCCAGGTGCTTGGGCCCTGCACCCCATGAGAGACCAGGAGAAGCACCTGGCTCCTGGCTCCTGGCTTCGAATCAGCGTGATGCGCCGGCCACAGCGGCCACTGGAGGGTGAACCAATGGCAAAGGAAGACCTTTCTCTCTGTCTCTCTCTCTCATTGTCCACTCTGCCTGTCAAAAAATAAAAAATAAATAAAAAAAATAAGAGGTAATGAGTTTGAAGGAGTAGATGCTTAATGTCATTCTGTGTTATGAAAAGGGATATTCAGCTTATTGAAAGATAGAACTCGTGCCATGCATTTATCTGAACTTGCAACTTTTAGTCGGCCGATCAACCGTGACTTCTTCAGCTCATCATAGCTGGCGTGTTTTTTGGATGCGGGTTTTCTGGGAGCAGCAGATGCGGTAGACCAGTAGTTAATGGGGTCAGTGCAGGACTCAGATGTGGTGTACGCATGGCTTGTGAAATTCTTTGACGTGGGATGTTTGGAACTGGTGACAGGAAATGCAGTGTCTCGCGTCCCCGCGCAGTGCGGAGGACGTGGCAATGCCCTGTCCGAGTTCATGAACTTTCCTATTCTGTATGCTTTGCAGAGAATGCGACTGTTATTCCCAACCAAGTGTATCAGCCTCTGGGGCCTTGTCCCTGTAATTTAACAGCCGGGGCCTGCGACATCCGCTGCTGCTGTGACCAGGTACGTTCACTGCTGAGCGCAAAGGTTACGGGGACACGGCGCCCGCAGTTCCCCGTCAGTAGCTGTGTATTGGGTGGTCTCTCAAGGTTACGGGGGCACGGCGCCCGCAGTTCCCCGTCAGTAGCTGTGTATTGGGTGGTCTCTCAAGGTTACGGGGCACGGCGCCCGCAGTTCCCCGTCAGTAGCTGTGTATTGGGTGGTCTCTCAAGGTTACGGGGGCACGGCGCCCGCAGTTCCCCGTCAGTAGCTGTGTATTGGGTGGTCTCTCAAGGTTACGGGGGCACGGCGCCCGCAGTTCCCCGTCAGTAGCTGTGTATTGGGTGGTCTCTCAAGGTTACGGGGGCACGGCGCCCGCAGTTCCCTGTCAGTAGCTGTGTATTGGGTGGTCTCTCAAGGTTACAGGGGCACGGCACCCACAGTTCCCGATCAGTAGCTGTGTATTGGGTGGTCTCTCAAGGTTACAGGGGCACGGCACCCACAGTTCCCCGTCAGTAGCTGTTTATTGGGTGGTCTCTCAAAACTGGGATTGTATTTCGTGTTGCAAATTGCTTTCCAATTGGGTCTTTAGTTAATAGAAGGAAAAGACGTATCTCTTTGGGTAAAGCCAAGATTGTGAAGATTATACTTACACTGAGAGGCTGATTTGAATATTATTTATTTACAAGTGTTTAGGAAACATAAAAGGAAGGAAATGTGATTTTTCAATGATTTTTAGAATTGTGCAGATGTCACGACTATCTAATTTTAGAATTTTTCCTACACCCCCAAAAAGAACCCTGTGCCTGTTTGCAGTCCCTCTCATTCCACCTGTTAGCACCTGTGCCCCACGTCCAGTCCTCTGGTCCCCCTGTTAGCACCTGTGCCCCCACGTCCTGTCCTCTCATTCCCCCTGTTAGCACCTGTGCCCCCGTGTCCTGACCTCTGGTCCCCCTGTTAGCACCTGTGCCCCCACGTCCTGTCCTCTGGTCCCCCCTGTTAGCACCTGTGCCCCCACGTCCAGTCCTCTGGTCCCCCTGTTAGCACCTGTGCCCCCACGTCCTGTCCTCTGGTCCCCCTTTACACCTGTGCCCCCGTGTCCTGTCCTCTGGTCCCCCTGTAGCACCTGTGTCCCCACGTCCTGTCCTCTGGTCCCCCTGTTAGCACCTGTGCCCCCGTGTCCTGTCCTCTGGTCCCCCCTGTTAGCACCTGTGTCCCCGTGTCCTGTCCTCTGGTCCCCTGTTAGCACCTGTGCCACGTGTCCCGTCCTCTGGTCCCCCTGTTAGCACCTGTGTCCCCGTGTCCCGTCCTCTGGTCCCCCCTGTTAGCACCTGTGTCCCCGTGTCCTGTCCTCTGGTCCCCCTGTTAGCACCTGTGCCCCGTGTCCCGTCCTCTGGTCCCCCTGTTAGCACCTGTGTCCCCGTGTCCCGTCCTCTGGTCCCCCCTGTTAGCACCTGTGTCCCCGTGTCCCGTCCTCTGGTCCCCCTGTTAGCACCTGTGCCCCCACGTCCTGTCCTCTGGTCCCCCTGTTAGCACCTGTGCCCCCACGTCTGTCCTCTGGTCCCCTGTTAGCACTGTGCCCCCACGTCCTGTCCTCTGGTCCCCCTGTTAGCACCTGTGCCCCCGTGTCCTGTCCTCTGGTCCCCCCTGTTAGCACCTGTGCCCCCGTGTCCTGTCCTCTGGTCCCCCTGTTAGCACCTGTGCCCCCACGTCCTGTCCTCTGGTCCCCCCTGTTAGCACCTGTGTCCCCGGTCCCGTCCTCTGGTCCCCCTGTTAGCACCTGTGCCCCCGTGTCCTGTCCCTGGTCCCCCCTGTTAGCACCTGTGCCCCCGTGTCCCGTCCTCTGGTCCCCCCTGTTAGCACCTGTGCCCCCGTGTCCTGTCCTCTGGTCCCCCTGTTAGCACCTGTGCCCCCACGTCCTGTCCTCTGGTCCCCCTGTTAGCACCTGTGCCCCTGTGTCCTGTCTCTGGTCCCCCCTGTTAGACATGTGCCCCACGTCCTGTCCTCTGGTCCCCCTGTTAGCACCTGTGCCCCCACGTCCTGTCCTCTGGTCCCCCTGTTAGCACCTGTGCCCCCACGTCCTGTCCTCTGGTCCCCCTGTTAGCACCTGTGCCCCCATGTCCTGTCCTCTCATTCCCCCTGTTAGCACCTGTGCCCCCGTGTCCTGTCCTCTGGTCCCCCCTGTTAGCACCTGTGCCCCCGTGTCCTGTCCTCTGGTCCCCCTGTTAGCACCTGTTCCCCCGTGTCCTGTCCTCTCATTCCCCCTGTTAGCACCTGTGCCCCCGTGTCCCGTCCTCTGGTCCCCCCTGTTAGCACCTGTGCCCCCACGTCCTGTACTCTCATTCCCCCTGTTAGCACCTGTGTCCCCGTGTCCCGTCCTCTGGTCCCCCCTGTTAGCACCTGTGCCCCCGTGTCCTGTCCTCTGGTCCCCCTGTTAGCACCTGTGTCCCCGTGTCCTGTCCTCTGGTCCCCCTGTTAGCACCTGTGTCCCCGTGTCCTGTCCTCTGGTCCCCCTGTTAGCACCTGTTCCCCCGTGTCCTGTCCTCTGGTCCCCCCTGTTAGCACCTGTGCCCCCATGTCCTGGTCCTCTGGTTTCCACTGCTTTCTCAAGCACATTAACGGGGAGCTGGATCAGAAGTGGAGCAGCTGGGACTCAAACTGGTGCCCATATGGGATGACTGGCGCTGCAGGCAGAGGCTCAGCCTGCTGTGCCACATGCCAGCCCCATAGCATCTGCTTCTTATCTGCTTGTCTGCTCCAGGACGTTTGCGTTGTTTTCACTGTGGCTGTCGTGAGCGATGGTGCCGTGAGCCTGGTGTGCAGTGCTTGTGTGGCTGTCTCTGTTTCTCTTGGGTTCAGACCCTGGAGGGAACGGCTGATCACTGGGTGACTGTGTTTACCCTTTTGGGGAACTGTTTTCCAAGGCTCTTGCACCTCTGTATGTCCCCACCAGCAGTTGCTGTGAGTTGCAGTTTCTGCAGGCTCTCAGCGCTGTTGATGTCTGGTGTTGGTTAGGTTATAGCCATCCCTGCAAGTGTGCAGTAGAATTTCATTGTGATTTTTAGTTGTATTTCTCTAGTGGCAATGGTGTTGAGCTTTTTGTGTGCTTACGGTGTACTTGTGTATCTTCTTTGGAGAAAGGTCTGTTCAGAGCGTTTGCAGACTTTTTTATTTATTTATTTAAAGGCAGAGTTTCAGAGAGAGAGATAGGAAGAGACAGAGAGAGGTCTTCCATCTGCTGAGTCACATTGTGGCCACTTGGACTGGGCCAGGCTGAAACAAGGAGCCTGAAACTCCTTCCAAGTCTCCCATGTGGGTGCAGGGGTCCAGATGCTTGGCCCATCTTCCATTGCTTTCCCAGAGCATTAGCAGGGAGCTGCATCACAAGCAGAGAGCAGGGACTCAAATGGTGCCCACAAGGGGTGCTGATGACCAAAGCGGTGGTTTAACCTGCGGAGCCACAGTGCTGGCCCAGCTGTTCACTTCCTTGTTGGTGTCTTCTAAAACACAGATTTTTTTTTTTTTTTTTTTTTGACAGGCAGAGTGGACAGTGAGAGAGAGAGACAGAGAGAAAGGTCTTCCTTTTGCCGTTGGTTCACTCTCCAATGGCCGCCGCGGCCGCCGCGCTGCGGCCGGCGCACCGCGCTGATCCGATGGCAGGAGCCAGGAGCCAGGTGCTTTTCCTGGTCTCCCATGGGGTGCAGGGCCCAAGCACCTGGGCCATCCTCCACTGCACTCCCGGGCCACAGCAGAGAGCTGGCCTGGAAGAGGGGCAACCGGGACAGAATCCGGCGCCCCAACCGGGACTAGAACCCGGTGTGCCGGCGCCGCTAGGCGGAGGATTAGCCTAGTGAGCTGCGGCGCCGGCCTAAAACACAGATTTTTTAATATGATGGAATCTAGGTGTTTCTTTTGTTGCTCTGTGCTTCTGGTGTCATATTTTAGAAACTTGCCTAATCCCAGGATGGATAGATATTTTTAAATTCTTACTTAGGTTTAAGAGGAATGCAGAATGTAAGAGAAGTGCACTTGCTGGTACCTGAATCACTGCCGTGTTTGGATGAGTGCAGTTACATGTGGTTGGGTTTTTCGCACCCCCACTAGCGGAACAAATATTTATTTTTTAAACCGACAAGCTATAGCTACTTAATGTATACGGTCTGGTGTGTGCGGAGGTGAGTGCACCCAGGTACCCATCACCTCAATCAGTACCATAGCTTGTCTGTCACCTCCACGTTTCCTCTCACTCCTTTGTTGCTGTTTTGTTTTATTTCCTTTTGTGATAGAGCACTCAACGTAGGATCTACCCTCTTAGCAAAGTTTTAGGTGTGCTGTCGTGGTTGGAGAGAGTAGGGTGTGTATTCATGTGAACCCACATCACCCCCACGCCAGCCCACCTGGTGTTTTCCAAGTGCCTTTCGCTGGCTGACACGCGTGCACCGCAGCACCAGCCCCGGCCCACTGGGATTCCCTGCCTGGTGACTGTTAGCTAACTGTGCCTGTCACTTAGGACACAATTTTTTGTTCACATTGCTCTTTTTTAAAACGGTAGAACGGGGGCGAGCATTTGGCCGAGTGGCTGAGATGCTGCCATCCTGCATCAGAGTGCCTGGGTTCGACACCCACATCTGGTTCCTGCCTCCAGCTTCCTGCTGACCGTGGGAGTCAGCTGTGGTAGCGCAATTGGTTAAGTTCCTGCCATCCACGTGGGAGGCCTGGATTGAGTGTCCAACTCCTGGCTTCAACCCTGGCCCAGCCTGGGCTCTCACAGGCACTTGGGGAGTGGACCAGGAATTGGAAATTCTCCATGTCTCTCTCAAATAAATAAACTAAAACAAAATGTAGGGGCTGGTGTTATGGCACAGTGGGTGAAGCTGCCGCCTGTGATGCCGGCACCCCATATCAGAGTGCCAGTTCAGGTCCCAGCTGTTCCACTTCTAACCCAGCTCCCTGCTAATGGCCTGAGAAAAGCAGTAGAAGATGGCTCAAGTGCGTGGGCCCCTGCACCCACACAGAAGAGCCAAATGGAGCTCTGGTCTCCTGGCTTCAGCCTGGACTAGCCTGGGCTATTGGTGGCCATTTAGGGAGTGAACCAATGGATGGAAGATCCCCATCTCTCCCTCCATATCACTCTGCCTTTTTTTTTTGGACAGGCAGAGTGGACAGTGAGAGAGAGAGACAGAGAGAAAGGTCTTCCTTTGCCGTTGGTTCACCCTCCAATGGCTGCCACGGCCAGTGCACTGCGGCCGGCGCACCGCGCTGATCCGAAGGTAGGAGCCAGGTACTTTTCCTGGTCTCCCATGGGGTGCAGGGCCCAAGCACTTGGGCCATCCTCCACTGCACTCCCTGGCCACAGCAGAGAGCTGGCCTGGAAGAGGGGCAACCGGGACAGAATCCGGCTCCCCGACCAGGACTAGAACCCGGTGTGCCGGCACTGCTAGGCGGAGGATTAGCCTAGTGAGCCGCGGCGCTGGCAACTCTGCCTTTTAAATAAATAAAAATCTTAAAAAAATGTAACCACTTGTCCTCCTCCCCACCCCACCCCCCACCCCCCAGTTCAAAAACAAGCCAGCAGATCACTGTTGTACCCTCAGCAGGAGAAGGACTGAGGATGTGAGGATGTGTTGTAAGTTTTCGGTCCCACCATCCTTTGTGAAACCGGGCAGGTGTGGACGAGCAGGTGACTGGTGAGTGAATGGGTTGTGTTGCCCGGCGCTGTGGCGTAGGAACTCTGCCCAAGCACGTCCTTAGGCTTCTCTGGGCTGTGTGTCCTCTGTTGGAGCCCCCATCTGGGGTGTGCTCTGTTCCTTCACGTGGGGCGCCTCTCAGGCTCCAGCACGCTGGGGTTCCCTGGAAGGCGTCACGTTTGCTAGGGCTCTGTGAAGGGAATTCTGGAGCTGGTGGAGGCACTCTGAGATGGCACGGATGCTGTTTGTTCACCCCGCTGGGCTGCCCGGAGGCCCGGGGAGGGCTCGCCTGCTCACTGCCGCTCTCCTCTGCTTCCAGGAGTGCTCCGCGGAGGGCCGGGAGCTGTTCGCGCAGTCCTGTCTCGGCGGTGTGTTTGGCGGGGACGTCAGTCCTCTGTTTGATCAGCTCTGCTCCGCCGGGGTGGCACAGCAGGTCCCGGACTGGTTTCCCTGGCTGTGTGTGCAGTCGCCCCTGGCCAATTCGCCCTTCCTCGGCTACTTCTATCACGGCTCTGTGTAAGTGCCCGGGGCAGCGCTCTGCAGCCCCACTGGCCGCTCGTCCCTCGGGCCACGTTTTTCTCAGTGCCTCTCCAGGGGGTCCTTGCTTCGAGGATCCGCTTCTAGATTTCCGTTAGCAGCTCGATTTGCGTGAAGTATTTGAGGGAATTGGGCCTCACTGAAAGTGGATGGACGGCACACACAGCTGGTCCGTGACCCTCTAGGGTAGGGGCTCACGGGGTCTGTGACCTGCGCTGTTGAGATGTTCAAGCTCCCTGGGATTTCCGTCTTTGCAAACACGAAGAGCTCAGAGGAGAGCCGTGTTCTAGCAGATGCCTGCGGGAGTGTCAGTGAAAGTCCGTCTCTGATTCGCAGCTCCCAGAGACCCCGCGCTGCCTCGCAAGTGCATCTGTACGCCGAGCCAAAAGACTCTTCGCACTTTGGTTACAAACAAGGAGATCCCATCATGACTCTGGATAAGGCATATCTCACTGTTCCACAGGTAATGGTGGCCGTTGTCTGTTTATCTGAAAGAGCCACAGAGAGAGGGAAAGAGATTCTAGAGAGAGGGAGAGAGATTCTAGAGAGAGGGAGAGAGATTCTAGAGAGAGTGAGATTCTAGAGAGAGGGAGAGAGAGAGAGATGGATCTTCTACATGCTGGTTCATGCCCCTGATGCTCACAGCAGCCGGGGCTGGGCAAAGCCAGGCGCTCCATCCAGATCTCCTGTCTGGTGGCAGGGACTGAAATCCTTGAGCCATCAGCTGCTGCCTTCCCAGCGTGTGCGTTTTGATTCAGGAAACCGAATCAAAATCAGAGGCAGGGCTGGATCCCAGGCACTGTGATACGTGGTGCGTGTCCCCAGTGGCGGCTTCATGTCTAGTCCTCTGTTTTTATTAGGTAATATTTGTTGTGACTCCTCAGTTAGTGGCTTCCATGCCTTGATTAGCAAATTCATTGAGTATTGTACTCAACTGGTCAGTTTGTCAGTGATCTAGGCAGCAGGTTAGCAGTAGGAGCAGGCAGCGGAAAGGATAGTGCTAAGACTCCCTGACCTGTTGTTGTGGCTGGCAGCGAGGCCGTAGCTGCCGGGTTTGTCCCCTACCCCCAGGTGTCCCTGGCTGGCAGCGAGGCCGTAGCTGTGGGTTTGTCCCCCACCCCCAGGTGTCCCTGGCCGGGCAGTGTATGCAGAATGCCCCGGTGGCATTCCTGCAGAATTTTGATGTCAGATGCACCACCCATCTGGAAGCATACCAAGAGCGAGATGGAATCATCAACACGAAGATAAGGAATGGGACCGTAGGAGGTATGTGCCGTCAGTTTGGAAACAGTAGGGTGGAGTAGGTAGCTGTGAGCACGTCGGTCACTTCTTCCTGGCTGACTGAGGAAAGTATTTTTGGGAAAAGCTCCACGCCGTAGAGGGCATAGTGTTTATCAGTGCTTCTTTATTCTTTTTTATTCTTTTATTTTTATTTTCATTTTTGACAGGCAGAGTTAGAGAGACAGAGAGAAAGGTCTTCCTTTTTCCGTTGGTTCACCCCGCAAGTGGCCGCCACTGTCGGTGCACTGTGCTGATCCGAAGCCAGGAGCCAGGTGCTTCTCCTGGTCTCCCATGGGGTGCAGGGCCCAAGCACTTGGGCCATCCTCCACTGCACTCCCTGGCCACAGCAGAGAGCTGGCCTGGAAGAGGGGCAACCGGGACAGAATCCGGCGCCCCGACTGGGACTAGAATCCGGTGTGCCGGCGCGCAGGCGGAGGATTAGCCTAGTGAGCCGCGGCGCCGGCCTATCAGTGCTTTTTTGAAGGTTGAAGGTTCACGTGACGTCAGAGTGCACAACTCAGTGGCACTGGCTGCATGCACAGTGTTGTGCAGCCGTCACCTCTGTCCAGCCCCAGAACGTTCCTCGCCCAGAAGGAAGCTGCGGCCTGAACAGCCGCCCTCGTTCTCCCCTGCGCTCGGACCCATCCCTGGATTTGCCTGTTCTGGACATCTCACACCAACGGAGGCACCCTCTGTGTGGCCTTTGTGTCTTTGGCTTAGCGTCGTGGTTTTGCGGTTCCTCGGTGTGGTAGCATGGGTCGATGTTTCATTCCACCGAAGGTGGAGTCAGAGTGGGCGCGTGGCCAGGCCACGTGGTATCTGTCAGCTGGTGTCTCCACCTTTTGGCTCTCACCGACAGTGGCGCTGTGAACACCGCAGGCAGCTTGCGTGTGGACAGTGTCTTCATTTCCCTTGGCGGGACACACAGGGATGCACCTGCCATGCCAGGTGCTAACATGGCGTCTTGAGGGACCCACAGACTGTTTGCCGCTCCCACCGGTGCTGTGCTCCTGTGGGTTCTCGGGAGGGAGGCCTGCCAGGTTATTGTCTCCAACTTGAGGGTTTTCCCCCTCGCTTATGACTGATGGTGGAGGGGGTTCCCAGTTGGCACGTGGGGGAGGCGCAGCGGCCGTGTTTGCCTGGCCAGCTTTCCTTTGGCCACGTAGGCCATGTGGTCCCCAGGAAGGTCATGTATGTTTCCTTTTAGGCATAGTTACGCCAAAAGTAACCTACGAGGAAGCAACGGACCTCGGCAAATACATCAGCACTACAGGTATTTTCATGGTACACTTTCATGTCCCTGCTGCAGGAGGGTGTGGGTCCCTTCCTACGAGTACCGTACGTAGTGGAAGACGTTGTAGAGTTGTTCACGGTAGTCAGAAAGCATCGCAGTAGCACCGTCTCTTCTTTGTCCTGTGTGTCCTGCTTGCTTGAGACTCACTCCCATGACCTTGAGCTGGCTCCTTCGCAGGCCTTGGGCGTTTGCCACACCATTAAGGGATTCTTTAGGACATGATGTTTTTACTTCCTGCTTTCTTAGATTATTAGTCTTTGTAATTGTGATGCAGTCACATGGGTTACAGTTGGCTGACGTTACCAGGGCTTTGTTTTCAGTGCTGGGTACTATTTACTTTTCAAGGTGTTTGAATTCTCCAGTGTACCCCTTACTTCGTCAAGTGTCAGTAGAGCTGGGGGCACCTCGCTGGCCCCTGTTGGGAGGGGAGGCCTCTGAAATCCCACAGACCTCTCCCTGAGGGTGCGCTCTGTGCCACATCTCAGCCGGGTGCTAGGAAGGGGCCAGATCTCACCGAGGACGCTGTGGTGGAACAGAGAGGCTGGGCACTGCCACTTCCTTGACAGAGGTGCTGCGTTAGGAGTTGGGTTGGGCAGGGGCAGGCAGTGGCCGGTGCCCAGGCAGTCGTGAGCTCCAGGAGGGCCTCTCATTTCTGAATGTGTTCTTATACTTGCAGAAACACTCTTAGGTAATGGGTCAGCCCCCAGAAACGTGACCGTGGAAGAGCATTACGTCTTCAGATGGAACAATAACACAATCAGTGAAGTGAACGTTAGAGTCATCAGGGCGGAAGTCAGTGCCTCCTGGAAAGGTAACTCTGGTGGCAGTGTGAGACGCTTCTGTTTATTTCTGTCTTCAAGATTCTCGTCGTTATGATACATAAAACTAAGAGCCATCTCTGGTGTCTTTTTATGATGAATCAAAGAGGCAGCATTTTGTGTGTGTGTGTCAAAATGAAATTTTAAGGTAAATAAAGTAGGACCATGGGGGAATCTTCCCTTCCGAGTGGAGTAGCACACACTGTGTTTTTATTTTGTTTTGTTTCTAGGAACAATGACGCAGAGATTTACAGTGCAGTTTTTAAGTTATAACAGTGGCGACGAGAAGGAATATTCTGGAAATCCAGGTGAGACGATGGCCCCTGGTGTGAAGAGATTTTGAGGTCCATGTAGAGTTTGTTCACAATACACATTTTCCATGAACTTAAAATTTTTTTTTAAAACTTTTATTTATTAAAGAGCGTGTGTGAGAGAGAATGCAGGCGAGTGTATGCCCATCCATTGGTTCGCTCCCCAAATGCCTTACAGCTAGGGCTGGGCTGAGGCTGGGACGGGGGCTGGGAACACAGCCCTCCGAGGGTGGCAGCCTCCCATGGTGCCCGTTAGCAGGAAGCTGGAGTCAGGAATTGAACCCAAGTGCTCTGACGTGAGTTGCAGGCATCTTAACTGCTAGGCTAAATGCCTGCCCCTGAATCACTACATACAATGTCAACAAAGCCATGCAAAAGAAGGGGTTCTTTAAAAACGACCTTTGTTAGCTCCTTCAGCACGCATCCCTGCCTGATTAAGAAGGTAAACGTGGGGGAGGGACGTGGCACCGGTTAAGCCACAGCTTTGTGAGGCTGGCATCCCGCATCAGAGTGCCGGTCTGAGTCCAGGCTGCCCTGGTTGCAATGCAGCTTCCTGCTCATGTGTCCGGGAAGGCAGCAGAAGATGGCCCAAGTGCTTTGGCCCCTGCCACCTGTCACCCCTGTGGGAGACCAGTGTTGAGCTCCTGGCTCCTGGCTTCCACTTGGCTGTTGTGGCCATTTGGTGGTAGTGGTGAACCAGTGGAGATATAAACTCTGTCTTCCTCTGTCATCCTGCCTTTCAAATAAATAAGTAAATAAATACATCTTAAAAAAAAGAATTAAAAAGAATTAAAAAAAAAAGAATAGTAAAAGGGGGAATGCGTAGGTGGAGGGCCTGGGTCCAGAACACACCTATGACTCCTGACTGCAGCTTCCTGCTAACGCAGACCGTCTTCCACTGCCTTCCCAGGTGAGTTAGCCGGAAGCTGGATTGGCGGCGGAGCAGCCGGTACTCCAGCCTGCCCTCCAGTGTGGAATGCCAGCCTTGCATGTGGGAGCCTAGGAGGAAAGGTGTTGACTCTCACTTGCTGTGTTGTCTAGGTTACCAGCTGGGCAGGCCTGTCCGGGCTCTGAACACCGACAGGCTGAACAACGTCACGAGTTTGTCCGTCTGGCAGCCAGGTGATTGGTTAGCCGCCCTGGTAAGCTAGAATCGGGAGCACTGCCGTGGTCGGATCAAGTCATCAGCTCTCCTAAGTGGCAGCGGACTTGGGCGGGGGGTGGTGGTGACTTTCCGTGCTTCTGCAGTTGTCTTTGCTCTAAGGAGTGTTCCCGTTGTTTGCACCTGCAGTGCTGGCTATCAGAATGAGAGGACTCAGCAGGATTGTCCCGAGAGTCCCTTGTCGTCACCGCCTGTAGCCGCGCATGGTGCTGGCTGGGGCATGCGAGTAGCTCCACCCTGAGTGGTGGGAAGTAGCCACACCCTCCAGAGGCCCTGGGGGTCATGTTCAGAGGAAACCCTGGTCGTGGTCCTGGAATGTGGTACAGGAAGGACCAGAGCAGCAGTGATGTCAGCTTTCAAAAACTGGGGACTTTATTTCTACTCATTCTTTTCTCTGTCAATAGAAACTTTGAAATGAACCTTTTACCCAGTAAAAACAAAGAGGTGATAGTTTTTTCCTGTTACAGCTGGAAGGGGTTTGTGTACGTCGGCGACTGTGAGACCCATTTTATTTGGAGAAGATGCGTCGTCCGGGTGCCTGTTAGAAGTCGGGATCCGTGAGAACTGTACCGCGCTCCGGTGAGTGAGTCACCAGTGAGCTGTCCGTGTCCTGAGTGGCTGATTAAAGTTAACTCACTGCACCCATGAGGAAGACGACATGAATACGGGTGAACATTCTGTAAAAGTTGGGCCAGTGTTTGGCCTAGTGGTTAAGGCACTGTTTGGGATGCCGGCATGCCATACTGGAGTGCCTGGGTTCAAGTCCCAGCTCTGTCTCCAATTCTAGCCTCCTGCTAATGTGCACCCTGGCAGGCAGAAGGTGATGGCTCAGGTGGGCTCCCTACCACTCTGGCGGGAGACCTGGATGGAGTTCCCAACTCCTGGCTCTGGCCTGGATTAGTCCTGAGTGTTGTGGGCATTTGGGGAGTGTAACAATGAATAGATCTTCCTCTGTCAGTCTCTCTCTGTCGCTGCCTTTCCAATAAACTGAAAATTTAAAAATTATAAAAATGATAATGAATAAACACGAACTTGTGCTAGAGTTGATTCAACGTCAGTGTAGAGGAAGCAGTGCTCGTTCCTGGGGCTGAAGCCATTTCAGTCATTAAAAAAAGTCCTTGAATTGTTTCTACTTGCTCTTCCAACCTGTCTCTTCCCATTCTCTCTCTCTCTCGCTCTCTTATTTTTTATTTATATGTTTAAAGATTTATTTATTTATTTGACAGAATTACAGAGATAGGGAGAGACAGAGAGAGATCTTCCATCTGCTGATTCACTCCCCAAATGGCTACAACAGCCTGGGCTGGGCCCAGCAGAAGCCAGGACCCTGGAACTCCATCCGGGTCTCCCACCTAAGTGACAGGGCCCACACACTCGGGCCATCCTCTGCTGCTCTCCCAGGCACATTAGCAGGGGGCTGAATTGGAAGCAGAGCACCTGGGACTTGAACCTGCACCCATATGGGATGCTAGTGTTGCGGGCAGTGGCTTAACCTGCTATACCACAACGTGGGGGTGTCCTCTCTCTCTCTCTCTCTCTCTTTCTCAGATTTATTTATTTGAAAGGCAGAATTACAGAGAGGCAGAGGCAAAGAGAGAGGTCTTCCATCTGCTGGTTCACTCCCCAAACAGCCACAATGGCTGGAGCTGTGCCGATCTGAAGCCAGGAGCCAGCAGCTTCTTCTGGGTCTCCTGCAGGTGCAAGGGCCCAAGGACTTGGGCCATCTTCTGCTTTCCCAGGCCACAGCAGCGAGCTGGATTGGGAGTGCAGCAACTTGGACTCAAACCAGCACCCATATGGGATGCTGGCACTGCAGGTGGAGGCTTTACCAGCTACGCCGCAGCGCCGCCCCTCCCTTCCCTTATTTTAAAATCTTGTTTATGTATTTGAGAAGCAGAGAGACTGACAAACATAGATAATACAAGAAAGGAGGGAGGTCCAGTTCCAGTTCTGGATCTTCACTAAATTTTCTGACTCAGAATCCTAGCTAGATACATAGGTTCCTCTCAAGCACAGCTGGACACTGACTGTTGAGGACTTCGGGGCCAGACCTGCTGACCACGAGCTGCAAACTGTCTTACTCTCTTGTAGGGAGAATGCTGTTGAAAGACTGAGTTCATTAATACAAGCAACTCATGTGGCAATGAGAGGCAACTCTGACTACAGCGACCTCAGCGATGGCTGGCTCGAGATCATACGTAAGTCAGAGCTGCACATGTGTGTGTCCTGTGTGCGCTGGTCCTGCAGTCGTCGTGTTGGATCCCAACCCCAGAGGCCGCCTCTCTGTGGTCCAGACAGGAAGTGCTTTCCGTCTTTCACCTCTTTTTGTGATGCTGTTTTTGTTTGTTATAACGTTGTTGTTTGTTTTCATTTCATTTGAAAGGCAGAGAAATAGAGAAATTTTACTTGAGAAACAGAGAAATAGAGAGAAAGAGAGAGATCTTCCACCCACTGGTTCACTCCCTGAATGCTTGCAACAGCCAAGGCTGGGCAGGTCGAAGCCAGGAACCTGGAACTCCATCAGGGGTTGGCTTGTGGGTGGCAGGGACCCACCCAGCTCTTGGAGCTGTCACTTGCCATCCCCAGGGGTGCACCTTAGCAGGAAGCTGGATGGGAAGTGGAGTAGCCGGGACCAGAAATGAGTACAGAGATCCCAAGCAGCCTCTTAACCACAGCTCCAAATGCCTGCCGAGCCTTTTTTTTTTTTTTTTTAAAGTTAATTGATTTATGTCAAAGAGTTACAGAGAGAGAGAAAGACAGATAGAGAGGTCTTCCGGCTGCTGGTTCACTCCCCAAATGGCTGCAATGGCTAGGGCTGTGCCAGGTCCAAGGCAGGATCCAGGAGCTTCTTCCTAGGCCTCCCACAAGGGTGTAGGGGCCCAGGGACTTGGGCTATCCTCCACTGCTTTCCTAGGAGCATTAGCAGGGGGCTGGATCAGAAGTGGAACAGCTGGGATTCGAACCAACACCCCTATGGGATGCCAGAACTGCAGGCTGTGTCTTAACCTGGTGTGCCACAGCGCTGGCGTCTTTTTTGGCTTGGAGAACCTGCACCGCTGTCCGGCTCTGGGAGGGCTCCCAGGCAGCCCTGTGTTGACGCAGCCCCTACTCAGGGCACGAGGCCCGGGGTTCTATTGCCTTCTGCAAACAGGCTCTGCCTTCTGGGCCAGTGAGGCAGGCCAGGTAACAACCCCTGGAGGAGGGAGGGAATCGGTCAAGGCATCGGAGAAGGACGAACTGTGGGACTAAGGTGCCACGCAGAGCCCAGCGTGGCCAGGCCTGAGGTCGGAGGTGCTGGCATCTCATCATGGCTTAGCAAAGAGCAGCTGTGAGCCCAGTTAATCAGCAGATGAGAGGTGACAGTGACCTGTGGGTGTCAAAGACCAGGAACTTAGGTGTGCTAAGGAACGTGTCACCGACCTTCAACAAACCCGAGGGTCGCCTCGGAGCCTGCCACTGCCTCCCGTCGTCGGCCCCGCTGGCTTTTCCCGCTTGTGCCCAGCCCTCCGGGTGGATGAAAGCGAATTCCCTTCAACTCCGTGCTCTGCCCGCGGTGCTGCTGTGCCAACACTTTAGGAAGTCACGTTGCTGGTATTCAGGTGCACACCAAGCCAAGTGCTAAGCGTCTGGGCTCTTGCCCGCGACACCTCTCTGTGCATCCCACTCTTCCCGTGGCCACGTGCACTTCTGTGGAAAGGCGGGGGGACTGCCGCGGGGAGCGCAGAGCTGAGCCATGCTGTGTCACGTTTTGACGCCTGTCAGGCCTTTGAAAATTCCAGTGACTGATTTAGGAAACACTTTATGCATGTTGACCTGTGGCCCTGCCGGCTTCGAGGGGTCGCATGGCTAGGGAGTGAGAGGTGGCCAGAACCTGGTCGAGGCTGCGGTCTCATTCGGGGGACTCCCGGTGACAATCCCTTCTCAGCCTTCCACTGTCACAACACCGGAGGAGAAAAGCCTGACTTGACCTGTCTGTAGGTGTGGACGCCCCCGGTGCAGGTGCGGACCCGCCCACCAGCGCCAGCGGCATCTGCCTGGACGTCCCTGCCCAGCTGAGTGTCCGCGTCCTCATCGCAGAGGCTGGCGCGGTGCAGGGGCTCATCCAGCAGGAGATACTCGGCGTGGAGACGAGGTACGAGCAGGTCTCGGAGCAGCGGTCAGGAGTCCAGGGGCGGGCGCAGGGAGAACCAGAGACGCCGACCGAGAGTCCCGTTGTTCAGAGGGGTGCAGGGGAGGGCGCAGGGAGAACCGGAGACGCCGACCGAGAGTCCCGTTGTTCAGAGGGGTCCAGGGGAGGGCGCAGGGAGAACCGGAGATGCCGACCGAGAGTCCCGTTGTTCAGAGGGGTCCAGGGGCGAGCGCAGGGAGAACCAGAGACGCCGACCGAGAGTCCCGTTGTTCAGAGGGGTGCAGGGAAGGGCGCAGGGAGAACCAGAGACGCCAACCGAGAGTCCCGTTGTTCAGAGGAGTCCAGGGGCGGGCGCAGGGAGAACTGGGAGATGCCGACCGAGAGTCCCGTTGTTCAGAGGAGTCCAGGGGCGGGCGCAGGGAGAACTGGAGACACTGACTGAGACTGATTGTTTGACAGTTGTTAGCAGGACGACTGTGTGGAATTGTGTTTACAGAGGAATCTTTCTTTTTTTTCAAAGTTTTATTTATGTATTTGAAAGGCAGAGTTACAGAGAGGTGGGGAGAGACACAGAGAGAGAGAGGTCTCCATCCGCTGGTTCCCTCCCCACATGGCTGCAACGGCTGGAGCTGATCTGATCTGAAGCCAGGAGTCTGGAGCTTCTTCTGGGTCTCTCATATGGGTGGCAGGGGCTCAAGCACTTGGGCCGTTTTTTGCTGCTTTCCCAGGCCATTAGCAAGTAGCTGGATTGGATGTGGAGCAGCTGTATGGGATGCCAGCACGCAGGCGGTGGCTTTACCCACAATGCTGCAGCGCCGGCCCCAGAGGAAACCTCACAGTACTCACACAGCTGTATGTCGGAGATGAGTGGGCTCCGTGGTGCTGAGCACATCTTGAAATCCATGCCTGTGACTGGCACGCTGCTCAGGGAACACTGCCCGGTGGTGGAGGCAGATAGGCAGGTTCCGGTGAGGGGCTCCCACTTTTGGGCTCCCTGTGGCCTCGGGCAGTTATCTGAGCTCTCCGAGCTGCAGTCTCCTCACAGTAAGGGGTAAGGCAGGAGTAGGGCCGTGTGTCAGCCCCTCCCCGCTTGTGAGTGGGGGGCCCCAGGCCACACTGCCTTGAGCAGAAGGGAGTTTGTTGGTGCAGGGTTGGGAAAGCGCACATGCAGCAGTTCCTGGTGGCCGGGCCTTTTTGTCACCGTCTCTTGGCTGCTCTTCCCTCTGGTTTGGCTTTGTTCTCCTCAGCACATAGCAAAGACACGCCAGCAAGTCCAGGTGCCATCCCATGGAGCCTCCTCCCGTCTGTCCACAAACCACCTGGGCAGATCTTTCCTGGTGCATCTGGGTCACGTGGGCCTTTCTGAGGCAAGCACTGTGGCCGGATGATAGACTGCTCTGATTGGCGGGATTCAGGTGCCGGGCCCAGGCGTAGATCGAGGCTGGTGCCTTCTGGTCTACTGAACTGAGAGTGGGCAAGGGTGTCCCCCACGGAAACACTGGGGCAGTTTCCAGAAGGAAAGAGAAGGGCTGCGGTGCTGGGTGGGCAGAGGTAACAGACGGCAGCCATCGGAGGGCCGGCCGCAGGGGGTCTGCACCCAGGACTGTTACTGTTGAGACAGGTGACTCGGAGCACCTCTGTAGAGCGAGCTGGTGGACAGCAGCAGGGCTGGAGCTGGCTGCAGGGTCCCCCGGGGCTCCCGAAGCTCTTGGCTCTCTCGGGTCTGTCTGCAAACTGACATGAAAGGTCACACCAGGTGCCCAGGAGCTCATGGAAAATTCATGTCCCCGAAACCGACTCATGGGATCTCAAGACTGTTTTGCGCCCAGATAAACTTCTAATCCATATTACCTTGGGTGTTTTGAAGCCCTCGGTGCTTGGTGTTCTTGGCAGACTGGAAACGAAGGGCGCTGAGTGGCCGGCGTGACCTTTCCCTCCCAGGTTCTCCACGGTGAACTGGCAGTACCAGTGTGGCCTGACCTGTGAGGACAAGGCCGGCCTCCTCCCCCTCGGCGTGTCAGTCCGATTCATTAAGATACCCGCGCAGCCACCCCGCCCTCGGACAAGGTAACCCGGTCGCTGACCCAGCTGGCCGGGGACAATGCATTCAGAAGTAGAAGGCCTATGCTGTAGTCGAGTCTCGGTTCACCTGTCGTAACCTTTCAAAACTTTGTTTCAGATTCCAGATCAACTTTACAGAGTACGACTGTACCAGAAACGAGGTGTGTTGGCCACAACTTCTATATCCGCTGACCCGGTATTATCAAGGTAGGACAAATCGGGTTTCTGGGTGGTTACAGACTACATGGTCATGTTGGCTCTTAGCGTCGTCACTCTGCATGGTTTGGTTCTCCCTGCGTGATCGCAAGGAGCTGAGGACTAACGTCGCTCGGTTGTGCCCGCTGTCTTTCAGGGGAGCCGTACTCTCAGTGCGTGGCCAAGGGCTTGCTGCTGGCCTGGTTCCTCCTGCTGGCCGCCTTCCTCAGTAACCCCTGGACCAGGATACGCCAGGCCTGACTTCCAGAGACCACAGGCCTTTCCCCAAGGGTGTGCCTCTGCAAGCTTTAATAAATGAGACGTTTATTTTGCTGAAAGTGTGTAAGGTGTCGCGTGACTGACGGCCGCACCCGGTCCAGCCGCCCGGATGCTGCCTGCACCCAGTGAAATGCAGGAGAGGTAACCTTGGGAATCTAGCTCATCACCAACACCAGACCACAGCAGAGCCGGCCTCCGTAAGCTCCGCAGATCCCAGGAGCTGCCCCGCCCCCGGGGACCCCAGTCCCGCCAGTGCAGCCCCTGGGAGGCGGGGGTGGGGGCTCCAGGAACTGGGCTCCAGACTTCGGCATAAAGCCTCAGAAGCGCACATCGCCCCGCCGCTGAGGGGTGGGGAAAGAGAGGCCAGGCTCCGGCGTCCCGCAAAGCAGCCGGCCATGGAGAGGAGCGAGGATGGCGGGGTTCCTGCCTGCCAGGCGCACCAGTCTCGGCCCTCCAGGCACTCCGGTTCCGGCCCGCCAAGCGCTCTGGTCCCCGGCCTGCGAGACGCACCGGTCCCGGCCCGCCAGGCGCATCGGTTCAGGCCTGCGAGGCGCACTGGTCCCAGCTGGCCAGGCGCATTGGTCCCGACCTGCGAGACGCACCGGTCCCAGCTGGCCAGGCACGTTGGTCCCGACCTGCGAGGTGCACCGGTCCCAGCTAGGGGCCGGAGGGGCGGGGGTGGGCGTCTCAAGCCCCGCCCCGGGGGAGCCACGTGGCCCTCCCCCGTCAGTCTTCTCCGTGCCAGGTGATCGTAGTCGCGGTAGCAGAAGGATCTTGCACACCGTCGGTAATCCGAATTTGGAAAGTGATTCTCTTCCCTTAATGGCGAGCGTCCCGCCCCCACCCCGTGCGGCCGCCGCCGCCTGCGCGCCGCTCGGCCCAACTCCGCTCACCCATTGGTCGGCCGGCGTGGGGCGGGGCGCGGGGGCGGAACCGGAACCGGCCGCGGCTCGGGGGCGGGGCCTGGCTGGCGCGGCGGCGGCGGCGGCGGCGGCGGGAGCGCGGCCGCGGTGGCAGGACCCGGGCCGGTCCCGCAGCCCGGCGCCCCATGCTGCGCGGCCGCGGCCAGGCCCAGGAAGAGCCCGAGGCCCGGGCCGTCCCGGCTGAGCGCGCGGCGGGCCCGCCATGGGGTCCCTGTTCCGGAGCGAGCCCATGTGCCTGGCGCAGCTCTTCCTGCAGTCGGGCACGGCCTACGAGTGCCTCAGCGCGCTGGGCGAGAAGGGCCTGGTCCAGTTCCGAGACGTGAGTGTCCCCCGGCCGTGGAGGGCGCGCCCGTGTTCCCATTCCCGGGCGGGGACGCGAGGCCCCGGCCTGCCTCCTCCCCGAGCTTCCGCGAAGCTGGCGGCCGACCCCGGCTCGTGGGGCTGCTGGTCGGGGTCTCCCCGGGGCGGGGGGCGCCGAGCCGCGCGGAGAGCAAACCCCGTGGCGTCCCCGTGGGGTGATGGTGGGCGCTTCGCGGGAGCAGAGGGCGCCGAGGCGGGGAGACGGGTCTGCCAGAAAGTGCCGCCTTCGGGAGCCGTCGGGCCGGCCTCGGGGAGAGGGGCCCTCGCTGTGGGGAGTGAGCTGGCAGCGGCCGGGGAGAGGCCGCAGCCCCGCGCGTTGGTGGAGGGAGCTGTGTGCCCAGCGGGCGGCGGCCCCTGCCTGACTGGTCCCCTGCGGGGTCCCCTCGGCCGTCAATAGGGCGCTTGTGGAGTGGCCGAACAAGCCTTGACTGGGGACCCAGCTGGTGCGCAGGGCGGCCCCAGTCCCGAGTTCTGGCAGGAGGCGGGAGGGAGCTGATGCTCCGGCCTCCCGCCTGCGCCGCCTGCTGTGCCCTAAGCGCCCTCCGCCTTCCCGGGGGAGCACCCTGCCCAAGGTCTGGCGTCCCGGGGTGACTCGAGGCGTGGGGGAGGCGTCCCGGGCTCTTCCTGGTTCCTGGAGCTGGCAGGTGCCGCGCTGAGCCCAGCAGGGCAGGGGCGGATCCGCCCGCCCCGTAGTGGGAACCGAGAGATCCCAGCAGGTGCTCCTGTTGCTGGGTGGCAGCCTTAGGTGCAGGGCGTTGGGGTCCAGAGGAAGCTGAAGCCAGGATGCTGCGCCCGGCTCTTCCTTGCGGGGCCCGCGGGCGCGGCGCCTCCCTCCCGCTCTCGCTGATTCAGTCCTTCTTGCTGGCTTGGCTCTGGGGAAGGGAGTGGGTGACAGCCAGGGGTAAGCCCCGGGAAGACAGGTGCCAGGCGCTGCGCTGGCCAGCAGGTCTCGTCTGGGAAAGCTCATCTCACGCCTGGAGCTGCTGGAACGGGAAGACCACGCGGGGATATCGGTGCTGGTGGTGCCAGGGCCCGGGATCTCCGTTAAATGCCTGTCTCAGATGCATCTCTCTTGAAATGTGTTTTATACTGTAGGCCTTCAAAAGGGGAAAAAAAACCCAAAACTGAAACTTAACTTTGTAGAAGAAGCCCCACAGCGGAGAGGCAGTGTATGTGAGCTGACGGTGGCCAGCCAGTGCCAGGAAGCCCCTGGGTGTGGGGCGTGCTGTGCAGTTAGTTACTCTGCTGCCGGGGCAGGGGGAAACGGACGGCGGCCGCATCGCTTCCCTTTCCCGTTCTTACTCTGCAGGTAGGGTAGCGTCTGTCGTCAGGGACTCGGAACTGGTGGCTTTATCTGACCTCCAGAAAGGAATGAGAAGGTGACAAACAGAAGTGAAATTGGAATTATCTTCTGCTTAATTCTAAAAAAAACAAAAAAACTGACCAAGAACTGAGACTGGGAGCGCCCGCTTCCCCGGTGCTGGGAGGACCTTCCTGCCGAGCGGTTGTCTGAGTGTTTCTGAGGGTGCCCAGGACGAGCCCTGGGCGGAACGAGACAGTCTCGTGTTAAATGCTTCTCAGCAAAAATGATTGGTCTGATTTTATTTTTAACTACAGAAGCCGTATGTGTCTGTTGTAGAAATGCAGACCGCAGGATCCCATAACTCAGGGAGTAACTCCTCACCTTTCTGTAATGTGGATCATTTCTCTACTAATGTTTTCATTTATGTTTTTATATAGTTAACTCACATTGAGTATCCTTAATCTGCCTTTTATACACAAATCTCGACAATTTCTTAATTTCATTAAACATTAAATGTTTAATTTTTTTAAGCTCTGTGTTGTAAGAAGTGGAGACAAGGGCACAGTGACCCCCGGGTCCCATAATGTAGAGTGACGGCCACTTGTTCACCCCTTCCCCTCTCCCAAACTGGATGAAGTAAACCCAAAGACATATACTTTAATATTTCAGTGAGTGTGTCTAGTAGCCATGGGGTGGGCCCTGGTGCAGGAGCGCCCACGTGGGAGGCCTGGGTGGAGCTCTGTGCTGCGGCTCCGACTCGGTCCAGCCCCTGCGGTTGTGGGGAGGGAACTGGTGGATGGGAGGTGTCTGTCTGTCTCTGTCTTTCAAATAAATTTTAAAAAATTGGCCGGCGCCGCAGCTCACTAGGCTAATCCTCCGCCTAGCGGCGCCGGGACACCAGGTTCTAGTCCCGGTTGGGGCGCCGGATTCTGTCCCGGTTGCCCCTCTTCCAGGCCAGCTCTCTGCTGTGGCCAGGGAGTGCAGTGGAGGATGGCCCAGGTGCTTGGGCCCTGCACCCCATGGGAGACCAGGAAAAGCACCTGGCTCCTGGCTCCTGGCTCCTGCCATCGGATCAGCGCGGTGTGCCGGCTGCAGCGCGCTGGCCGCGGCGGCCATTGGAGGTGAACCAACGGCAAAGGAAGACCTTTCTCTCTGTCTCTCTCTCTCACTGTCCACTCTGCCTGTCAAAAAATTAAAAAAAAAAAAATTAGGATTTTTAAAAAGTCATAGGCTTAACATTATTATCATACCTGAAAATCTTAATAAAACATTTCTTAATATAATCAAAGTCCGGGTCATCTAAAACATTGGTTTTTGTTATTCACATTGGTCAGTTGTGTGGCTGAACATCAGTTTCTGTTCAGCTGCATAAAGCTGTGTGCCAGGACTCACCCATTTCAGGTGTGCAAGTCGTGGTTTTCAGAGCCATCCCCGCAGTCCGGTGTAGGGCGGTCACCCAGGAGTCCTCGTGCCCAAGTACAGAGAGCCCTCGTCTCGAGCCGGCCCCACCGCCCCGGCCACCACTGCTCCGCCTCCTGGGCATGGTCTGCACGTGGAGCCCTGGGCTGAGTTACAGAGGGAAAGAGGGAGAGACAGAGCGAGGTGTCTTCTGTGTGCTGGCTCGCTGCCCAGGCGTTTGTAATGCTCAGGGCTTCGCTGGCCTGAAGCCAGGAGTTTCTTCTGGGTCTCCCGTGGGTGGCAGGGACCCAAGTTCCCAGGCTGTCTTCGGGCCGTCTTCATTGCCTGCATGGGTGCATTAGCGGGAAGCTGGACTGGAAGCAGAGCAGCCGAGACTGGAGCTGGCGCTTCGTGTGGGGTGCTGGGGTCAACCTGCTGCAGCGATGCGCTTTCTGGGTGGGGTGTTTCTGGGCCGAGGGATTTTTTTTTAAGATTTATTTTATTTATTTGAAAGACAGAGTTACAGAGAGAGGTAGAGACAGAGAGGTATCCATCTGCTGGTTCACTCCCCAGATGACCGCAATGGCTGGACCTGCACCGATCCGAAGCCAGGAGCGTCTTCCGGGTCTCCCATGTGGGTGCAGGGGCCCAAGGACTTGGGCCATCTTCCACTGTTTTCCCGGGCCGTCGCAGAGAGCTGGATCGGAAGAGGAGCAGCTGGGACTTGAACCAGCGCCCATATAGGATGCCGGCGCCGCGGGCAGGGCTTCAACCCACTGCGCCACAGTGCCGGCCCCTGGGCCAAGGGATATTTTTGGGACTTTTTGGATGATGGCATAGGAGCCATGTGGCTCATGGCCCATCCAGGAGGGTGGAAGTGGGGCCCGCTTCCCCACACCCACAGCAATAGCGTTTGTGTTAAAAATAAAATGCATTTTCACGTTTTAGAAGAGTAAAGCAGATTTTTCATCTTTCAGCTCAACCAGAATGTAAGTTCTTTTCAAAGAAAATTTGTTGGTGAGGTGAAGAGGTGTGAAGAGCTGGAGCGAATATTGGGTAAGTTCACTTTCCGTTTGACAGCTTGATGGTGTTCATGAAAGTGAACCGGATCGTTGTAGAAAGTACCGGAAGGCAGAGAGGAAAGGTCGTGCTCCGGTAGTGGCTCTGTTGTCGTGCAGATTGATCCAGACCTCGCCTGCCGTCTGCAGAAGCAGGGTTACGGAGACCATGGGAGGGTCTTCTGTTACCCTTGTTCCTTACTAAAGAGAGCTTTCCGTAGCGTCTTCCTGTCCATAAACTCGTGGGGGCGAGTTGGGCCGGAGACTCAGGTGGCCGCGTCCCCTGTTGCGGCTTCCTGCTGGTTTAGGCCCTGGGAGGCCCTGGTGATGGCTCGCTTAGTTGGGTCCCCGCCACCCACACGGGAGACCTGGATTGAGTTCCTGGCTCCTGGCTCTGGCTGCAGCCCAGCCTCAGCCTCTGTAAGCCTTTGAAGAGTAAACCAGTGGGTGGGGGAGAGCTCTCTCCCCCACCCCTCCCTGCCTCTCAAATAAAGATGGAGGCGGGGAGGGCGGGGGGCAGCTCACTTGCTGTTTTTAATGGCTGCAGAGAATTTCCTGGTATTAAGGTAGCCAATCTTCTGTGGTTTGTTAGCTTAAAAATATTATTTATACCTTAATATATTAATGTCAGATTAGGTCAGGGCGCAAAGGCAGCCTGGCGGACACATTGACGGTCGTTCCTCCAGGGCCTCCTTCGCAGGTGCGGGGCAGGGCGGGGCAGGGCAGGGCAGGGCAGCTCATATTGTTAGCCAGTAACAGACTCAGCACCCAGGGCTGCCTCCTTCATCTCTAAAGCCTTTAACTTCTTAGCCTCAAGTAGTTGTTTACAGATCCATCCTTGTTTTGTTTGTTAAAGATTTATTCATCTGTTTGAGAGGCAGAGCTACAGACAGAGTGGTCTTCCATCCGCTGGCTCACTCCCTAAATGGATGCAATGGCCAGAGCTGGGCCCATCTGGAGCCAGGAGGTTCCTCCGAGTCTCCCATGTAGGTACAGGGCCTAGGCATTAGCAGGGAGCTGGACTGGAAGTGGAGCAGCCGCCCGTATGGGATGCCAGCGCTACCGCAGAGGCTTAGCCTGCCATGCCACAGTGCTGGCCCCCCATCCTTGAAGTAGGGGACCTGGGGGAAGTTCTTGGCTCCTGGCTTCAGATCGGCTCAGCTCTGGCTGTTGCAGCCTTCTGGGGAGAGGACCAGCAGATGGAAGACTTCTCTCTCTCTGTCTTTCAAGTAAAATAAACATTAAAAGAGGGGAAATGACAGACATTTGGCTGGAGTACAGACTTTGTAGAAGAATTAGAAGACGTGGGGTGGGGAGGAAGCACGACTTTCAGAATGACTTCTGGAAGTTTGAATGTCATGTGTATATTTTAAAGATTTACTTACTTATTTGAAAGGCAGAGAGAGAGAGACAGAGAGGTCTCCACTGATTCACTCCCCAAAATGGCTGCAACAGCCAGGTCTGGGCCAGGCTGGAGCCAGGAGCCAGGAATTTCATCCGTTTCCCACATGGGTGACAGCACTTCCGCCTTCCCAGCACATCAGTCAGAAGCTGGAGTGGGAGCAGAGCAGCCGGGGACGTGACCCAGCGCTCTGATAGGGGACGAGGGGGTTGCAAGTGGTGGCTTCAGCCCGCTGCACCACGTCAGCCCTGGGTTTTACATGCTTGACATTAGCAGTAACTTGCGGCCATTGGAGGTCCGTTCCCTTTTGTACCAGTTACTCCTTGGGGTGTGTTTGTGGGCGACGTTGTGTCCTTGTCTTTTAAACACGTGTGGGTCAGTGGGGAGTGAGAGGGCAAAGGTGATGACCCCTGAGATGTGTCTAGGACTTCCTGTAGCTTAAACTGTTTCTAAAGGGATGCACACTAAACATAAAAATAAAAAACGGAATTCGGAAGTGAAGTTGGCTGTAAATTGCTTAAAGCCGTTTGTGTCCATCGGAAGCCGTGAAAGCCCGTGCTGCCTTTGCCGTGTCCTTGGGAAGACTGCTTTGTCTTCCTCCCCATCCCGCGCTCACGCCTTGGCCCACTCTCCAGGTGGTAACACTTCTCGGAGGTAGGCCTGGCAGGCACTTCAGCAGGTGCCGTGGCTTCGGTCCTGAGGAAGAGGGCTCCCCACAGGATTGAAAACACAAGCTAAAGGAAGGAAGTTGGTTCTGGCTGGTGTGCTGTTTGTTTCACAAATCCAGTTTTTCCTTAAGTAGCCAGGGCAGACCGGTCGTCCCGCGTCCCGGCACGAGGGCTGCCCCGGGAGTCGCCGAGAGCCTGGCTTTCCACCCTGTCCCCGGGTGCCCTGCCTGCTGGAGCTCGGGGACTTCCTGGGGGCCCGGCTCCCAAGGACGACTGCTGGAAAGCCGTGGTGGCGTCTCCTGGGGCTGCCCTGGATCTGCTGTGGTTCTGGAGTGGGAGAGCTGGGAGGGTTTCCTGTGGCCGCAGCCTCGGCGTGGCGGTGCCTGCAGGTCGGGGGCTTTGTGCGTTTACGAGGTTGGGCTTCGCGGGTTGTAGCTCGTGTGCTAACTTGATTTCCCCAGTGTACCTGGTGCAGGAAATCAGCAGAGCGGATATCGCCCTTCCCGAGGGAGAGGCCAGTCCTCCCGCACCGCCCCTGAAGCAGGTTCTGGAGATGGAGGTGAGACGTGCGGCGGTCTGGGTGCGCACACACACACACACACACACACCCGTGCTGCCTGGTGCCTTCCCGCCTTTCCTCTCAAGGCGGCGCCGTGGCTCCGTCCCCCGGGGTCATGGCACCCGCTCACTGGTCAGGTGATGCCTCAGGAAGCAGATTCCCGCGCCGGGCTCGCCGCCCAGGCCTGCCCTTTGTCCCTGCGCTCCCTGCCCGCCCCCTTGATTTCCAGGTGGTGATCTGCTGGGACGGGCAGCAGCCAGGGTCCCTCCGGACTCACGGCTGTGTGCTGGGAGGGAGCGTGTGCCCGCAGTCGGGTGTTGTGTGTCGGCGTCCCCCTGCGAGGCGGCCACGTCGGGTTCCGTGTCATCCTCTGGTTCATCACTGTGGACCCAAGCCAGAGCTCGCGGGGGCTCTTGTGAGACAGCTCCCGCCGTGGGACCAGGGCCGCTCTGTTTACCTGGAGGAAGGCCAGTGATGTGGGCTGAGTGGCCTTGGGAGAGAGGAGGAGGCAGGCATGTGGTGTGGCCTGTCAGATGGGGTGGGGACGAGGTGACCACAGACGTGCTGATGGCTGTGGGCGGTGCTTACACAGCCGCACGCAGTCCTGGATGTGGTGTGCTAGGGGGTTTGTTGAGAGGGGCGTTCTTCGATCGCTGACTGGTTTTACAGAGCCCTGCCTCCACGGCTGTGATGCTTAGTTTTGCAACGCCTTATTAGGGTTATCTTGCATGTAGTTTTGTCAGTTCTTAATTTTCTCTTAAAGATTTATTTATTTGTTTGAAAGGCAGAGTTACAGAGAGGCTGAGGCAGAGAGAGAGAGAGGTTTTCCATCTGCTGGTTCACTCCCCAAATGGTCGCAATGGTTGGAGCTGGGCTGATTTGAAGCCAGGAGCCAGGAACTTCTTCCATGTCTCCCACACGGGTGCAGGGGCCCAAGCGCTTGGGCCATCTTCCACTGCTTTCCCAGGCCATTGCAGGGAGCTGGGTCAGAAGTGGAGCAGCTGGGTCTCAAACTGGTGCCCATATGGGATGCTGGCAGTGCAGGTGGCGGCTTTACCCACTGTGCCACAGCACCGGCCCTCTTAATTTCTTCATTAGAAGTGTTTTTTAACAGACATGTAAACAATTGTCATACTTATGAGGTATCCTGTGACGTTTCCGTTGTGTGGACACGTGTAGTGTGCAGGGAGAGTGAGTGTGTCTGGCCCTGTGAACATCTCTATGTGGAGAAAACAGTCACACTCCTGTCCCCGGGACTTGTTTTCACTAGAGAAAGCTACAGTAGTTAGTGTCATCTTTAGTCACCGCACCGCGCAGTGGCCCAGGACTGCTCCTGCGTCTCCTGTGGCTTAGAGCCCACTCGCCCTCCCCATCCCTGCCTGCCCTCTTCCCTCCGCA